TTAAAAGAACAAAATTGTGGTCATTTTATTTCTTCATTTATTTATTCTTCATCTGATTCCAGAAAGGATTTAAGAAAACTCACTGAATTCCTTTAATCTAGTGCCCGGATGGACTTCATTCCAAAGGCCTCACATGGGACAATCTAAAAGGAACTCAAAGATGCCTTTTCTCCCTCCTCCTGAGGGGTGAACATGGATCCAAGAGGTGACTTTCTTTGCCTCCTCCCTGAGACTGTGCAAGGGAGGGAGGCAGAGTGACAGCAGAAACAAGCAATGCTTTTTCTGTTTTGCTTTTTCCGGGCTGCTGGCCACCTATCCCTTAATGGCTCCAGGCCCTGTTTCTTAAGTGATGCTATACCCTACCTGCAGCAGGGCCTGGTGGGGTGGGTGTGAAGGGGTACAGGAGGTATGTGAACAGAGTGAAGATGGGAGAAAGAAAGATTCACGAGTGGCAGTGTGGGGAAGATCATCAAGTGGTGAGGGAAAGAGTAAGAGACAGTAGGAGTAGGGGAAGGCTTTATAAATGGTGGAATTTAACTTCTGGGAGGAGGGAGAGAAGTGGTGTTTGCTTAGGCATTTGCTCATGGGGATTGTTTACTCATGGTTAAAGCCAGAATGCAGTTAGTGTTAAAGCAGAAATGAAGCTGTATTCCAGGCAGGAGGCGAGCATGATGGAGTGCAGGCTGTGTGTTGAGAGTGCGCGTACAAGAGTACAAGACAAATTGTGAAAAGATGATGCTCTGGACACAGGAACTCTAAATTCTCCTGTTCTGATGGCAGATTTGTACCAAGTCATGCTGTCCTACTTTCTACATCTTGCTTTTGAGATGGCTGTTCGGGTTTAGGGGTGTTTTCCATGACCATGGAAAAAGTGAATCTTACTGGCTCACTTATGAATAGACTCGACGTGGTTTGGATGCTACACTGTCTTGGACCTATGCTGAGTTAGACTTCTCGCACGTTGAGATCATAAATCAGGAAACTGAGCACACACACACACACACACACACACACACCCTTACGTGCACAAGAGATGCAGCTGCTAGAATCAGGTGGGCTGTTTCCTGCCACAGGGTTCCTGGGCTTGCTATTTGAGTGGCTGCAGCTGTGCCTGGGAGGGTGTGGCTCCTGCCTGCTCCTGGGCCCCAAGAGGACGGAGATGCCCAGGTCCATAGCCATGGCTTGGGCAGCTGCAATGGCACCTGGGAGCTCCTGCCCCAAGTCAGAAGCGATGGGGCTCCCACTCGTCCCTGGCTCCCGCTAGCTCTATGGAGCTTGCAGCCCCTGCTGTGTCTCCCAGCTGCAGCCACTCCAGACGGACCACCACTGCCATCATAAACACATGGTGGGTTTCTTTGGCAACCAGACCCATCCTGAAGCTATCTACCAGTCATCTCATTAACATAAACTCAGGTGTAATCAAAATTCAGGGACTTGTTATGGATAACAAAAGAGCTCCTATCACCTCTATCATTCAGAAAGTTATACAAGGGTTTTTAGAATCTGTAAACCAGGGGACAAAGACAAAATATATATTTCTTTTTTTTTTTTTTTTTGAGATGGAGTTTTGCTCTCATTGCCCAGGCTGGAGTGCAATGGTACAATCTCGGCTCACCGCAACCTCTGTCTCTTGGGTTCAAGCAATTTTCCTGCCTCAGCCTCCCGAGTAGCTGGGATTACAGGCATGCACCACCACGCCTGGCTAATTTTGTATTTTTAGTAGAGACAGGGTTTCTCCATATTGGTCAGCCTTGTCTCAAACCTCTGACCTCAACTGATCTGCCTGCCTCACCCTCCCAAAGTGCCAAAGTGCTGGGATAACAGGTGTGAGCCACCGAACGTGGCCCAAAATATACATTTCTTATTAGGTCTGCTAAGTTAGGTTTATCCTGAAGTAGCCTCCTTACATAGTTTAAGTTCAGTGTGAAGATCTTGCCATACATAGTGAACTATAACCTTATTGGATTAGTAAACAGACTGTAACCTACTCTTGTGCCAATCACTGAATTTAAGCCAATGAAAGGTGGCCAGCTATTCAAATTGTGTCCAAATAGACAAATGTAATCCAACCATTTCTGCCTATCACTTTCCTTTTCCTGTCTGTCAGTCTTTTTTTGACCACAGCTGCGCAGGAATCTCTCTGAACCTATTCTGCTTTGGGGGCTGCTTGATTTGCAAGTCATTCTTTGCTCAATAAACTCTCGTTAAAATTAACTTGCCTAAGGTTTTCTTTTTAATATATGGTGTCAGAAATGGAATCTGAAGTAGAGCTTCTAGTCCCCACCAGGGGTATTGAGTGACCAAACAAGGTACCCGCCAGACGCGTTTTGTCCATTGCTCTCTCTGACAACTGGGGATCATGGTGTCTTCTCTCTCAGATTCTGAAGCTCTGTGGGTTTATGTTTTGAGCTATCTGTTTGTTTGAGTGAATTTTTGCTATGAATTAGGTTTGGAAGTTGTGATATAAACTGGACTAGGTCTAGGATCACACTGGATGCAACAGTTAGCTGGCTTTGACCCAGTTAGAGGCCTCAGATGTCTGAGTGGGTCAGAGAGAAACTGGCAGTAAATGGTAATAGTACAGAGGCTACGAACTTCTGCTTTTGGAAACTCACAGAGATTTTTGTGTTGTAGTATTCCTTTTGTTTCTTTTTCTTACACATTTAGGTAGGAAAAAAAACAGAAAAAACCATTAGCCAAGTTAATCAAATAGATCTGAGAGTTAAAGACAAGATCTAAAGTAAAAATGGAGTCCTTTACTACTAAAGAACTAAGTACTCCACCTTCCAGCTATGCTTACCCATTCATGCAGAAATATGAGGCCCTGGAAGCAGCAAACACTTACAGAAATAGCAAGATCTTACTAAAGGTAATACAGAATTACATTTCAAATGAATACTGCACTTTAAGAAGTGCATTTAAAAATGAGGGTCCCAGACTGGGTATGGTGGCTTTTTGCCTTGTAATCCCACCACTTTGGGAGACTGAGGCAGGAGGACTGCTTGAGCCTAGGACTTTGAGATCAGCCTGGGCAATATAGTGAGATCCTATCTCTACAAAAAACAAAACAATTAGCTAAATGTAATGGCACATACCTGTAATCATAACTACTCAGGAGGCTGAGGTGGGAAGATCGCTTGAGCCTGGTTAGATTGAGGCTGCAGCAAGCTGTGAGTATACCACTGCACTCCAGCCTGGGTAACAGAACAAAGCCCTGTCTCAAAAAAAGGTAAAAAAAAAAAAAAAAATGAGGGCCCCAGAATTAGTCTTATCTAGGAATAAGTATTGATGTACAGATGCTTCTGAAAAGATTTCAAGATTTTTATTGCTTTTTATAAAAGATCTGGTTGGGCACGGTGGCTCATGCCTGTAATCCCAGCACTTTGGGAGGCCGAGGTGGGCAGATCACCTGAGGTCAGGAGTTCAAGACCAGCCTGGTCAACACAGGAAAACCACGTCTTTACCAAAAAATGCAAAAATTAGCCAGATGTGGTGGTGGATGCCTATAATCCCAGCTACTCGGGAGGCTGAGACAGGAAAATCGCTTGAATCCAGGGGGCAGAGGTTGTGGTGAGCCAAGATCATGCCACAGCACTCCAGCCTGGGTGACAGAGCAAGACTTCATCTCAAAATAAATAAATAAATAAATAAATAAATAAGATCTTTACATGTTGTGAAAATGCCAACAAACAAAATAGTTTAAAAGCAAATAACTGGCCAGGCACAGTAGCTCACACCTGTAATCCCAGCACTTTGGGAGGCCAAGGTGGGTGGATCACTTGAGGTCAGGAGTTCCAGACCAGCCTGGCCAACATGGTGAAACCTGTCTCTACTAAAAATACAAAAATCAGCTGGGCGTAGTGACACATGCCTGTAGTCCCAGCTACTTGGGAGGCTGAGGCACAAGAATCACTTGAACCTGGAAGCTGAGGTTGCAGTGAGCTGAGATCACATCACTGCACTCCAGCCTGGGCAACAGAGTGAGATTCCATCTCAAAAAAAAAGAAAGAAAGAAAGATGCCGATTTATTAAATGCCCATGTACAAAGAAGGGTAGCCAAGGCACTAGGTATTTGCATGACAAATTCTTTTCTTATTAAGATGCTGTTGCTGAAATGATCCTCTGGGATTTCAGAAGAACTGGTCACCTAATTTTGCTATGGGAACAACATCAATGATGGATCACTTACTTCACCATTTCAGTGACGGTTCAGAACTCTTCACTGAGCACTAACTCTGTTGCAAACTCTGTGCTGGATTCTGGAGATGCAGCTGCCAACCAGCCAGAACCAGTTTCTGGATGCAGTGTGAACCAGCAAGGAGCCTAAACCGGATTCTCAGAATGGAAAAACCTTACCAAACACCACTAGATATATGTATACCACATCAGCTTTCAACAGACCCCAATCCCTTTCATGATGACCTAGAGATGGCTTATCCCTGGAACAGATGAAGACCATTCTGAATTGCTCTGAATATGTTTGTATTTAAATATGTCTCAGATAATAAAATAGGAAGAATGCTTCATGTGACCTAAGAGCAGGAGCAAAGCCTTTCTGAAGGGTTTCCTGGCACTCTGGGTTTCAGGCAGGGCCTCTCTGGAGCTGTCTCATCTCCATTTCTTTCTTTCTGGCTGCCTGCCGCTGCACTTTGGCTCCAACTCCATGCCTTCTGCTGGGAGCTCTCCCCACAGAGCTCACTTGAGGGATGCTTCTTTTGAGGTAGAAGTTAACCTGGAAGGGAAAAAACAGAAGCTAGGAGATCCGTTTGAACCATCTTTTGCCATAGTTCCGGTTTCTGAGGGCTGGGTACTGTTGAGAACTATTATAGCATTGATCCAGAGAAGCACTGGTGGTGCCATATAGACCTGGCTAATGGTCCCCCAAAATTGGTATGCAATCACTGGTGATAAATAGGGTGTGACTGGATGAAATTAATATTCATTGATTTTATATGTATTAGAGAAAAATTGGCTGGGCATGGTGGCCCAAGCCTGTAATCCCAGCACTTTGGGAGGCTGAGGCGGTGGATCACCCGAGGTCAGGAGTTCAAGATCAGCCTGGCCAGGATGGTGAAACCCTGTCTCTACTAAAAATGCAAAGAAATTAGCCAGGCGTGGTGGTGCACACCTGTAGTCTCAGCTACTCAGGAGGCTGAGGTGGGAGAATTGCTTGAACCTGGGAGGTGGAGGCTGCAGTGAGCCGAGATTATGCCACTTCACTCTAGCCTGGGTCACACTGAGACTCCATGTCAAAAATAAAAATTAAAAAGAAAAAAATAGTTCAGGTGGTAGCTGTAATCCCTGCACTTTGGGAGGCTGAGGCAGGCAGAACACCTGAGGTCAGGAATTAGAGACCAGCCTGACCAACATGATGAAACCCCATCCCTACTAAAAATACAAAAATTATCTGGGCTGATGGCACATGCCTAATAGTTCTGGCTACTTGGGAGGCTGAGGCATGAGAATTGCTTGAACTCAGGAGGCAGAAGCTGCAGTAAGCCAAGATCATGCCACTGCACTCTAGCCTGGGTGACAAAATGAGACTCCATTTCAAAAGAAACAAAGGAAAAAAAAAAAGAAAGGAAAAATATCTACACATCAAATCACAATTTCACCAATATTACCACTTAGGACAAGAGCCATGACTGATGGCACTGTAATAGTCTTCATGCCGCCTGGGTGACTCACAGGTGCCATGCTCAGGCATGCCAGTAAGTATCACCGTGCTTCAGAACTCAACCTTCTTCCATACTTGTTTGATTTTATAGATAGTAGAGACGATAAAGAGAGTTGGTTGGACTCATTTATTTTCCCTTTTTTTAAATTTTATTTTAGAGATGGGTTCTTGATATGTTGTCCAGGCTGGACTCGAACTCCTGGGTTCGAGGTCTCCCTGCCTCAGCCTCCTGAGTAGCTGGGACTACCGGCATATGCCACCACACCCTGCTTGGATTCTTAAACTCGAAATTTCCATGTGCATTAATGCATCCTTTCAAGCACTGCATTGCAACTTCTCTTCTGGCCACAGCAAGTGATGGAAAGATACTTTTCACTGACAAATGTGGGACATTCTGGGCGTGGAAGAGCCATAGAACTATCCCAGGCTGAAGAGGAAGGAGAGGGAGTGGCACAGTATCCTAACCACACTCCCCTGGGGCAGGCCTGGGCTTTCCCACCCTTGGAACAGCTTGAGCCCCTGAAGCCAGCTGGGAGTTAAAAAACATGCCGCTGACTGAGAGGCCTCTCTATGGGGTTATTTCCTGCTCCTTCCACAAAAATTCATAGCCAGGTTTTCTGCTAGTTCCTCCAGGGGTGGGGAGGGGAGAATCAGAGCCAACTGTACTGTCTTATTTACCAGTTCCTGTTTAGTAACACAGGAATCTAGGACAGAAAAAGAGAGAAGAGAGACAAGAAAATGAGGCAAGGGAAAGGAAAGGAGTGGCGCCATGTGGAAGGCCTTGGGAAAAAGCAAGATATTTTATTTTATTTTTATTTTGGGCCCAGGAAGATGTTTTATTTTTATTTTGAGATAAGGTCTTACTCTGTCATCCAGGCTGGAGTGCAGTGGTGCAATCATGGTTCACTGCAGCCTCCATCTCCTGGGTTCAAGTGATCCTTCCACCTCAGCTGCCCAAGTGGCTGGCACTACACATGCACGCCATCACGCCTGGCTAATTTTTGTACTTTTTTATAGAGACAGGGTTTCACCATGTTGCCCAGGCTGGTCTCAAACTCCTGGGCTCAAGTGATCCTCAAGCCTCAGCCTTCAAAAGTAGTACTGGGATTATAGGTGTGAGGCACCACACGGGGGCCGAGATATTTTAAAGCATCTTAATTCTACTATGGAAACCCTGTAGTAAACAATCTGGTTTTCTGTTTTGTTTTTGAGATGGAGTCTTGCTCTGTTGCCCAGGTTGGAGTGCAGTGGTACGATCTCAGCTCACTGCAACCTCTGCCCCTGAGTTCAAGCAATTCTCCTGCCTCAGCCTCCCAAGTAGCTGGGATTACAGGCATGCACTAACACACCTGGCTAATTTTTGTATTTTTAGTAGAGACAGGGTTTCGTCATGTTGGCCAGGCTGGTCTCGAATTCCTGACCTCAAGTGACATTACATTCCAGCCTCCCAAAGTGCTAGGATTACAGGCATGAGCCACCACACCTGGCCAATCTTTTTTTCCTTTTTTCTTTCCCAGTCAGATGGCTATCTGCTTTAGACTGGGGAGGGAGACAGATTGCTTTGTGATCAATAAATGGATTTTTAGTTGTTACTGTGCCTGGAAATTGTATCCAAATGACAGATTTCTTTTCTACTCTGAGTATATTTGATGTAATGATGACATTAATTTAAAGAATATGTGAAAAAGGGGGCAAAATCCTTTGAAATCGAGTGTGCTACTCAAGAGGACATGCAGTTGTTTGAATTTGGCATTGAACAGACTTGCTGGTAATGCAAGACTCACATATGTAACTGCCTACCAGTCATTCAATTTTAGGATATAACAAGATAAAAAGGAAAGAGGACCCCAGATCAGCTAATAGGCTACAGTGAAAGATTTACTCTCTGTTTCCAGCAACTGTAACGAGAAGTAATTTACATTATTCAGGAGATGGGACTGGGGGAGGAGGAGATGGACGAAGAAACCATCTGGAAATTCCAGAGGAATTCTCAAAGGGTTCAAAGCATAGTTCTCTCCCCTGATCCTTGAGTTATCATAAGGAGCTACAAACACAGGTTGTACACTTAGTATGAGGTCCTGTAACACACTGGCTAAGAAGGAAGCCAGAGAGCCTGATGTAGGTTCAAATCCTGGCTCCCACCAACTTGCTATGTGATATTATGCAAGTTTCTTTTATCTTCTTTAAGCCGCAAATGGGGATACTTGCATCTACCTCACAGGGTTGTTGTGAAGGTTAAATGAGACAGTGCTGGAAAGCTCTCATAGCACGTCACACACAGTAACTATTCAATAAATAGTAAAAGACAAGCGTGCCTTGACTGCATCATGTTAATTGGGAAAGCGGGTGGGAGGGTCTACTAAGCTCTAGGGTTGTGTACAGAAGGCATGAGGCGGCCCTAGGAAAGGCTGACTTTTGGGAAATGAGATTGTAGATAGCCGTTAAGTAGGACTGCCTCATTATTTTGTCCTCCTTTGAGAAATCTGGGGATTAGTGTCCATGACCCCTGAGCTCCTTTAGCTCTGAGGTCCTAATACAACCAAAACTGAAAAGGTCCAGGCTGTAAAATCAAAGAAGTTCTCTGCTTCTCATCCTATCTATAAAATAAAGCCCTGGAGAGTTGAATCTTGAAGAGTAGCTGGCTCTTTGCAGCATTGAGTGGAAAGCAACATCAGGGCCCACGGATCACCAGAAGGGATGGTAGAGCGCCCTCTGGTGACAGTCCTTGCCGGTGGCACAGAAGAATGTAAGCCCACTGCCCTTCTCTGTAAAAACTGGTCTTAAAGAATTTATCTGATTTAGTCAGAGCACAGTCTAGGCTGAAGGAGTACAGTGGCTCACGACTGTAATCCCAATGCTTTGAGAGGCCGCGGTGCAAGGATCTCCTGAGGCCAGCAGTTCAAGGCTGCAGTGAGCCATGACTGTACCACTGTACTCCAGAGTGGGCTACATAGAGAACCCCGTCTCTACAAAAAACAACAAAAATTGGGCTGGGTGCGGTGGCTCATGCCTATAATCCCAGCACTTTGGGAGGCCGAGAAGGGTGCATCACTTGAGGTCAGGAGTTCAAGACCAGACTGGTCAACATGGTGAAAACCCATCTCTACTAAAAATACAAAAATTAGCCAAGCATGGTGGCACAAGCCTGTAGTCCCAGCTACTTGGGAAGCTGAGGCAGGAGAATCACTTGAACCCAGGAAGCAGAAGTTGCAGTGAGCTGAGATCGAGCCACTGCACTCCAGCCTGGGCAAGAGAGTGAGACTTTGTCTCAAAAAAAAAAAAAAAAAATTAGTTGGGCATGGTGGCATGTGCCTGTGGTACCAGATACTTGGGAAGATGAAGCAGAAGATCTCTTGAGTCTGAGGCTGCAGTAAGCCATGACTGTGCCACTGCACTCCAGCCTGAGGGACAGAGTCACTCCCTGTCTCTACAAAGAAAGAAGAAAAAAGAAAGAAGAAGAGGAGGAGGAAGAGAAGGAGGAGGAGGAGAACCTATCTAACCTACCTTGTTTGACTATAAGTCATAAGATTCTACCTTGTTTGACTGTAGGTCGTAAGACCCTTTTTTCAGAGAGGATACTGACCCATACCCAGAAGGAAGAAATGCATGCTCAGAGAGCCCAGAAGAATCCGGACAGACAGGCCTTGCTAGATTTCTTCACTCAGTACATAGCATTAGCTGATACCTTTTTGTCCAATTGCATTTATACCTAGCTGTATCTAATTTGTTGAACCTAAGCATAAAAATGGACAATCTCCCCTGTATCTTTGGGTCTTCATTCTGTAGGCTCCTGTGCATGCACATTAAATAAATTGGTATACCTTTTCTCTAATTTATCTGCCTTTTGAGAGTTGATTTGGCCCCTACATACATTGATTTGGCTTTATGTGGACATTCTCATTTCAGCCTCTTGTGAAGGAAGCACTATTATTACCAATTTACCGAGAAAGAAACTGAGAAGGAGAGAGATTAGGTAATTTGTCCAAGGTCTGTGGGTAAATGAGCTGAATTTAGAACTAGGCAGTGCTTTAAATCACTATGTTATGTTAAACAGAAGAGGAAGGCTGGGCGCTGTGGCTCATGCCTATAATCCCAGCACTTTGGGAGGCCGAGACGGGTGGATCATGAGGTCAAGAGATCAAGACCATCCTGGTCAAAAAGGTGAAACCCTGTCTCTACTAAAAATACAAAAATTAGCTGGGCATGGTGGTGCGCGCCTGTAGTCCCAGCTACTCGGGAGGCTGAGGCAGGAGAATTGCTTGAACCCAGAAGGTGGAGGTTGCGGTGAGCCAAGATCGTGCCATTGCACTCTAGTCTGGGTAACAACAGTGAAACTCCATCTAAAAAAAAAAAAACAGAAGAGGAAAAACCAAAAGGAAGTGAGGAAGGATAAACAGGAGGGCAACAGAACAAAAGTTAAAATGTGCAAGCAATTAATCCTTTAAAAAATAGTGAAAGAAGGAAGCTGGGCAAAGATTAGAGGTGTATAATCACTTAAGATTTTGTAAGGGCCAAGGGTGGTGGCTCATGCCTGTAATCTCAGCACTTTGGGAGGCTGAGGCGGGCAGATTGCTTGAGCCAAGGAATTCAAGACCAGCCTGGGCAACACAGTGAAATCCTCTTACTACAAAAAGTAGAAAAATTAGGCTGGCATGGTGGTGTAAACTTATACTCATTCCCAGCTACTTGGGATACTGAGGCGGGAGGATTGCTTCAGCCCGGGAGATTGAGGCTGCAGTCAGCCATGACGGCACCACTGCACTCCAGCCTGGGTGACAGAGTGAGACACTGTGCTCCTAAAAAGACTTTATAAGTGACTTTTACAGTACACCATCAAGCTCAACCTAACTCACCAATGTTGGTTCCGCAGGACCCACGGTCACAGTCTCTGTCTGTGAGTCAAACCCAGGTGCTTTGGCAGTGACAGTGTAGGTACCTGGAAGCAGCAGCCGGAAGTAATCACCATGATCACCTGAAAGTCACAAGGATATAACTCAGTCTACTGATTAAAAACCTGCCCCAGGCTGGGCACAGTGGCTCACACTTGTAATCCCAGCACTTTGGGAGGCCAAGGTGGGCGGATCACCTGAGGTCAGGAGTTTGAGACCAGCCTGGCCATTATGGTGAAACTCTGTCTCTACTGAAAATACAAAAATTAGCTGGGCATAGTGGTTGGCGCCTGTAATCCTAGCTACTCAGGAGGCTGAGCCAGGAGAATTGCTTGAACCTGGGAGGTGGAGGTTGCAGTGAGCTGAGATCGCGCCACTGCACACCAGCCAGATCAGCAGAGTAAGACTCCATCTCAAAAAAAAAAAAAAAAAAAAAAAACTGCCCCAAATGGGACCTTCATATAAAAATAAGCTGGGATTTTTAGCTGACTACAAGCTTTTGTTTTTTTAGACGGAATCTTGCTCTGTCTCCCAGGCTGCAGTGCAGTGGCATGATCTCGGCTCATTGCAGCCTCCACCTCCCGAGTTCAAGCAATTCTCCTGCCTCAGCCTCCTGAGTAGCTGGGACTACAGGAGCAGGCCACTACGCTCAGCTAATTTTTGTAATTTTAGTGGAGATAGGGTTTCACCATGTTGGCCAGGCTAATCTTGAACTCCTGAACTCAGGTGATCTGCCTGCCTCAGCCTCCCAAAGTGCTGGGATTACAGGTGTGAGCCACTGTGCCCGTTTGCTTTTCTTTTTAAAATAAATAAATAAATAAATAGAGTCAGTTTCTCACTATGTTGCCCAGGCTGGTCTCAAACTCCTGGGCTCAAGTGATCTCCTGCCTCAGTCTCCCAAAGTGCTAGGACCACATGCGTGAGCCACCGCACCCGTCCTGGCTTTTCTTTCTTTCTTTTTTTTTTTTGAGACAGAGACTCACTCTGTTGCCCAGGCTAGAGTGTAGTGGTACGATCTCAGCTCACTGTAACCTCCACCTCCCAGGTTCAAGAGATCCTCCTGCCTCATAGTAGCTAAAATTACAGGCACATACCACCTTGCCCAGCTAATGTCTGCACCTTTGGTAGAGACGGGGTTTCACCATGTTGGTCAGGCCGGTCTCAAACTTCTGACCTCAGGTGATCCACCTGCCTTGGCCTCCCAAAGTGCTGGGATTACAGGCGTGAGCCACCGTGCCTGGCCTGTGACTTTTCTTAATAGCATGAAACTAGCAAAGATTTAAATCATTTGTGGGCTATCTTAATAGAAGTACGGGATCAGCCCCTAGGAAGCAGGAGTTTTACTGTGCTCCACATTGAAACTGTTAAGTGTAATTCTAGACCCTTTAGTTAATAAAAACTTATCTCCAGTAAAGGAACACTAGGAGAAAGGAAATGCTGAAAGGTCTCTGAATGTTTGCCTAATAAAGAAACTACGTGAGATCTCAGTTTTGTTATTCGAAAGGTCACTATGAAGAAATGGTGTCTATCTAAAGAAATAAGAATAAGATGTATGGGTTTAAATTGCAGGGAGGCAGACTTTATTAGACAGAAATAAAACCTGTTGAGGCCGGGTGCGGTGGCTCACACCTGTCATCCCAGCACTTTGGGAGGCCAAGGCAGGTGGATCACCTGAGGTCAGGAGTTTGATACCAGCCTGGCCAACATGGCGAAACCCTGTCTCTACTAAAAATACAAAAATTAGCCAGGTGTGGTGGTACATGCCTGTAGTCCCAATTACTTGGGAGGTTGAGGCAGGAGAATTGCTAGAACGCAGGAGGTAGAGGCTGCAGTGAGCCGAGATTGTGCCACTGTACTCCAGCCTGAGTGACAGAGCAAGACTCTGTCTCAAATAAATAAATAAGCAAACGACAAACCTGTTGAGAGAAACAGAGCTACAAAAAAAGGAATGGTCTGCTTTATGAAATTGTGAGCACTCAAGCACAGACAGGATCAGAAGCATGGAAAAGCTACACAGATGTACAGTGCAAAACCTGCACGACTGAACGTGGAGGCCCTGGGTTCGACAAAAAGCTGTCAGTGGTGTTGTATGGGTGTAATCTTATATTCAGTGGGAAGGCTGGACCAGTAAAGATACGATTTTGGGAGTCCTCTCTCTTTTTTTGAGACAGGGTCTCATTCTGTTGCCCAGGCTAGAGTGCAGTAGTGCTGTCACAGCTCACTCCAAACTTGAACTCCTGGACTCAAGCGATTTTCCTGCCTCAGCCTTTTAAATAGCTGGGACTATAGGCACATACCACTGTGCCTGGTTAATTTTGTTATTTTTATGTTTTGTAGAGAAATCGCTATGTTGACCAGGATGCTCTTGAACTCTTGACCTCAAGCAATCCATCCAGCTCAGCCTCCCAAAGTGCTGGGATTACAAATGTGTGGCACTGTGTCCAGTGAGAATCCTATTTTTAATATTTCTTCTATTGGGCTGCGTGCAGTGGCTCGCCCCACTACACTCTAGCCTGGGCAACAGAGCAAGACTCTGTCTCAAAGAACAAAAAAAAATTCTTTTATCACCTTCAAAAATATGGCAAAGGAAAAATAAACTTCAAAAGAAGCTGTTTTTCTGCAACAGGGAAAGAGCATTTTGGCTAGTGACTTTCCATCCCTTTTGACTCAATTATGACAGTGACTTTAAAATTCATTTTAAGTATATAGCAATGAATATTTGAAATAACAAAGACAATAAACCTTGAGACAAACAATAATGAGAAAGTCTTTTTTCTGCCCCCTAATAAATAGTGTCTGTAATTTAATTTAAAGTACTGCAGCAAAGGCAATGTGTTATTGTACTTGTATTGGATAGTTGAAATGACACCCCAGGGGTTGTCATTTTCTGAACTGGGACTTGCATCCTGAAGTGGTTAGCCCCCATTCCAGATACAGCTACTCTCAAGGCTTCAGCTAGCTTTCTCTCTCATCAACACTAGATGCTTTGCTAAGTTACATATAATGGGTTTTTTCACCGGTGAAATGAATTTTTTTTTTTTTTTTTTTTTGAGGCAGAGTTTTACTCTGTTGCCTAGGCTGGAGTGCAATGGTGCAATCTTGGTTCACTGCAACCTCAATCTCCCAGGTTCAAGCGATTCTCCTACCTCAGCCTCCTCAGTATCTGGGGCTACAGGTGCCCACCACCACACCCAGCTAATTTTTTTATTTTTATTTTTAGTAGAGATGGAGTTTCACCACATTGGCCAGGCTGGTCTTGAACTCCTGACCTTTGCTTCCCAAAGTGCTGGGATTACAGGCATGAGCCACCATGCCCAGCCTAATAATTTGTTAATTAACATAATGGTTGGTGAAAGTAGGCACTTATTGGAGAAATTAGTGGTGGTGGTGGTGGTGTTGTTGGAGACAGAGTCCCACTCTGTGCCCAGGCTGGAGTGCAATGACATGATTCCGGCTCACTGCAAACCCCGCCTCCTGGGTTCAAGCGATTCTTGTGTCTCAGCCTCCCAAGTAGCTGGGACTATAGGCCACACCACCACACCCAGCTAATTTTTGTAGTTTTAGTAGAGACGGGGATTTCACCATGTTGGCCAGGCTGGTCTTGAACTCCTGACCTCAAGTGTTCCTTTCACCTGGACCTCCAGATACTCAAATCCCAAAGTGTTGGGATTATAGGCGTGAGCCACTGTGCCCAGCAATACATGCTGACTGGCTAGACTGTTTTAGAGACATTCCCACACTTGCTTGGACAGAGCATAAGAATCTAGCAAAAGCTAGGTGTGCACTCCTGGAACCCCAGCACTTTGGGAGGCTGAAGCAGGCAGATCCCTTGAGCTCAGAAGTTTAAGACCAGCCTGGGCAACAAGGCAAAACCCTGTCTCTGTAAAAAATAAAAATAAAAAAAAAATTAGCTGAGCATAGTGGTATGCACTTGTAGTCCCAGCTACTTGGGAGACTGAGGCAGGAGGATCGAGTGAGCCTGGGAGGTCAAGGCTGCAGCGAGCCCTAATTGCACCACTGTACTGCAGCCCAGGCTTTAGAGTGAGACCCTGTAATCCCAGCTATTTGGGAGGCTGAGGCAGAAGAATTGCTTGAGTTGGGAGACCAGCTAGGGCAACATAGTGAAACCTCACCACCTAAAAAAAAAATAGAGGCCAGCTATTGTGGCTTACAAGTGTAATCCCAGCACTTTGGGAGGCCGAGGCGGGCAAATCATGAGGTCAGGAGTTTGAGACCAGGCTGGCCAACATGGTGAAACCCCATCTCTACTAAAAGTACAAAAATTAGCTGGGTGTGGTGGCGCATGCCTATAATCCCAGCTACTACTTGGGAGGCTAAGACAGGAGAATCCCTTGAACCAGGGAGGCAGAAGTTGCAGTGAGCCGAGATCACACCACTGCACTCCAGCCCAGGTTTTATGTCTAACAACAACAACAACAAAAACAGAAGAATCTAGCAAGCCCCGAAGAAGGCTGTGCTCATAAGAATGATTCCTATGACTGAGAAACATTTCCTTAAAAAAAGAAAGAAGCAAAAACAGATTAAAAGGATGGTTCCTGAGTTGGGATTCCTAAACAGTCCTATGTCCAGACATTGGGCTAAACAGACTCTCTGGTTGTCTGACACTTCACTGTGAGGCTATAGGATTCTGCCTTTAGACACTACCTTCGCCCTGAATGAACTTTTCATGTAAGATGCATTGAGATTGCTTTAAAGAACAGAAAGCTGAGAGTTCATTCAGCTTAAACAGATCGGAGGAACTGGGAAATGGCTACTTGGTAATAAATGTTAGTGCAGTAAACTTTGGGTGAGACTTGCTGGTATTAAGGTTGTGGGGAGGGCTGGGTGTGGTGACTCACACCTGCAATCTCCAGCACTTTGGGAGGCTTTTGAGCCCAGGAGCTAGAGGCCAGCCTGGGCAACATGGTGAAACCCCATCTCCACAAAAAATACAAAAAATTAACGAGGCATGGTATTACATGCTTGTAGTCCCAGCTATTTTGGAGGCTGAGGTGGGAGGATGGCTTCAGCCTGGGAAGCAGAGGTTGCAGTGAGATCACACCACTGCCCTCCAGCCTGGGTGGCAGAATGATACTCCTTTCCAAAAAAAAGAAAAAAGGGTGGGGAGTTAGGCAAATCTCACTTACCCGTAACTGTAACCATTGGTAACTACTGCTATTCATTAAAAGCAAAATAAAACAAAAAACGCTGTGAGTTGTGCATGATCAAACTGAGCTAAGTCAGTTTACAACACCATTCTGCCGTGAGATAATTCTGTGCCCTCCTAGGAGGCTCTGGGTAGCTCTAAGATCCACCTCCACCATCAATCTTGCCCCACAGTAAGTCTATGATGGAAAGAATCTTGCTAACTTTCCCAGTGGAGGTGTAGGGAAATGCCAAGTCAGCGACAAGGCTAACTATCGGTTTTACAGTCCTCTTTCTACCCAATTTCATAGCAGTATGTGAGCTATTAACAGGCTTAACCCCAGAAAATAACCCTAACAAAATTGTACACGGTAGCGACTCCTGAATGCTGACGAGAAGTGACATTTACATCAGTCGTTCCTGGTACTGACCTCCCAGGGATTGTTTGCACCAGAAGCAAAAGCGTTTCCATGAAAACATCTTGGTTTTTGATCTAGCCTCTTAATTTACTGTCTCTGTTTTCATTACCCTTCTTTTTTCCATTCCCTGACTCCCAGCATCCTTGACACCCCTGCTGGCTTACTAACTGGCCCCTTGATTATGCTGAAGAAGATGAGGGAGTGAACGCATCCTTCCTGACCCTAAGCAGTAACCACCTACCTGAAGTGACATCATGGTTAATCCCACTGACAGAAATGACAGCATTAGCAAGATTATTATAATTCTCATCAAGCACCATTCCCTTGATGCCCTGGTGAACCTGCAGGAACAAGTATATAGTTATGATCATAAAACATTTGTATGGTGTTTTAGAGTCTCAAAGCCCTTTCTCGTATGTTTGTGCATTTTATCTTCACAGAGAATAAGGTAATAGTCCAATTGGTGTCTTTGCCTCTCTCCCTGTCCCAATTAACCTCTTCGCAATTAGAGTGGTCAGAGTGATCCTGCTAAAGCCTGACTCAAATCATGTCCCTATTCTATCTACTCAAAACCTAATGCACTCTGAGCAAAAGCTAAAGTTCTTGTGATGCTCTGTCTGTAAAGCTACGTGTTAGCTCTCTGATCCCATCTCCAACCGCCTTTCCTCTCCCTTACTTCTGAGATCAGTCCAGCCACATTGGTGTCCTGGCTTTCTGTTTTGTTTTGTTACTTTGCTGTGATAGATTGTGATAAAATACACATAAAATAAGATTTACCATTTTAACCATTTTAAGTATACAGTTTCATGTTATTAATACATTTAACCGGGCACAGTAGCTTACACCTGTAATCCCCAAACTTAGGGAGGTTGAGGTGGGCAGATCACCTGAGGTCAGGAGTTTGAGACCAGCCTAGCCAACACAGTGAAACCCTGTCTCTACTAGAAATGCAAAAAAATTAGTCAAGCATGGTAGTGGATGCCTGTAATCCCAGCTACTCACAAGACCGAGACAGGCGAATCACTTAAACCCAGGAGACGGAAGTTGCAGTGGGCCGAGATCGCGCCACTGAACTCTAGACTAGGCGACAGAGCAAGACTCTGTTTAAAAAAAAATTGTAATGTTGTGCAACCGTTACCACCACCCATCTGCGTAGCTCTTTTATCTGGAAAAACTGAAACCAGATATCCACTAAACAATGATTCTCCATTCTGCCCTCCCCCAACACCTGGCAACTACCATTCTATTAATATTTTCCATCTCTATAATTTTGACTACTCTAAGTACCTCATATAAGTGGAATAATAGAGTATTTGTCTTTTTGTGGGTGGCTAGTTTCACTCGGCATAATGTCCTCAAGTTTCATCCATGCTGTAGCATGTATCAGGATTTCCTTCCTTTTTAAGGCTGCATAATAGTCTACTGTATGGATATACAACATTCATTTATACAGTTATCCACCAGTGAACACTGGGTTGCTCCCACTTTTTGGCTATTATAAATAATGCTTTATGAATATGGGTGTGCAAATATCTCTTTGAGGCCCTTATTTCTGTTGTTTTGAACATATACCCAAAAGTGTCATTGCTGGAGCATATAGGAATTCTAATTGTGTGAGGAATTGCCATAACTGTTTTGTATAATGACTGCACCACTTTACATTCTAATCAATTTGAGGTGGGATCTCGCTGTGGTGTTAATTTGCATTTCTCTAATGATTAGTGATGTTGGCATTTTTCATATGTTTTTGTTGATTTTGTATTTGCTGTTGGGTCCATTTCAAGGATTCCTTTTATCCCTAGATATCTGCATGTTTCTCTCCCTCACCTCCTTGAAATTTTTGTTTAAATGTCACTTCCTCTGTAAGACTTTCTTCATACCATTTTTCTTTTAACATGTTATATAATTTATTTCTTACTGCCTGTCTCTCCACACTAGAAGGTAAGTTCCATATGGGCAGGGATATTTTCTTCTTTATTCATAATTCCAAGCATACAGTATAGTTTCTGACAGATAGTTGTGCTTGATAATTTGTTTTTGAGAAGGGTCTTGCTCTGCCACCCAAGCTGGAGTGCAATGGCTTGATCACAGCTCACTGCAGCCTTGACCTCCTGGGCACAAGCAATCCTCCAACCTCATCCTCCTATGTAGCTGGGTCTACAGGAGCACACCACCATGCTTGGCTAATTTTTTTTTTTTTTAAGTAGACGTGGGGTCTAGCTGTGTTTCCCAGGCTACTTTGAGACCAGCCTGGGAAACATAGCTCAAGTGAGCTCAAGTGATCCTCCCATCTCAGCTTCCCAAAGTGCTGGGGTTACAGGTATGAACCACCGTGCCTGGCTGCTCAATAATGTTGAAAGAATAAATCTCATTGGTAGAAGAAGCCAAGATCTATTGAACTGAGTCAAAGCAAAAGTCAGACCCAAACCAGTGAAACCTTCCCTGCCACCGAGAAGCACTTTTCCTTTTGCAAACATGAAAGTTAACAAATGAGATTTTACCTCTTCCAGGAACTGGATTAGGGCTTCCCGATTACCCAGCCACTCCCGCTGTAACTCCTCTTGTGGGGGAAACTTGTTGCAACTCAGTTCCAGCGTGATATCAAAGCAGTTGGTATGGAGATAATTAAAGTCTTGCATTCCTAAGGAAAAGAGGGCAGCAGCAGATTTCCATAACCAGGTTCCCACTCAATGCCCCATCTCATCTCTCTCTTTTTAAAATTTTCTAATTATTTGGGAATTACTTTTTTATTTTATTTATTTCATTGGCACATAATATATACATATTCATGTATATCACATAATAATATGTGCATATTCAGTGACGTTTCAATACATACACTGTATAGTGATCAGATCAGGGTAATTAGCATCCCATCCTCCCAAACATTTATTGTTTCTTTGTGTTGGAAACATCCAGCATCTTCTTCATTGCCTTCTTTTCCTCATCACCTTCTATTCTATCTCTTGCCCTCTATTTCTTTCTTTCCTCTATAAAACCCTTCCCCAAGTTCCCAGTTCACTGCCTGTCTCTCTCTGCAGTTCCCTCTCTTCATAAATGCCCATTTTGTCATCTTCGTCCTTTATGTTTTCTCCATTTCATGACTGAATTTTACTTCTTGTCCCTTTTATCATTTCCCAAGTCCGCTTATTATCTGTGCCTTACTATTGATTATGCACATGAATTGCTTTTAGAACAGATTTTCTCCTTGGACTACAATGTTCTTCAGACCTGGCAGGTTAGGAATAAGACTAATATTTTGCTTTCACATCCATCCTCCTAAGAACATAATATTAATCTGAAAATACCCATCCCAGAAAAACAGACTCCTGAAAAAGCAGAAGACAGCTATATTTTCTTCTTTTTCTATAAAATACTTGCTTGTTCTGATCTTCTACATTATTCAGTTGAATCAATTACTTTTTAATATGTTTATTATTAGTAGTATGGTTGTTTACATTACAATTTCATTTGGGTTAAAAATTATCCATTTAAAAATGTCTATATTACCCAAGGTGATCTACAGATTTAATGCAATCTCTATCAAAATCCCAATATCCTTTGCTGTAAAAATAGAAAACCCACCCTAAAATTTATATGGAATTTTAAGCAACCCTGAATAGCAAAAGTAATCTTGAAAAAGAATAACAAAGTTAGAGACTCACAATTTCTCATTTTGAAACTGACTACAAAGCTACAGTAATCAAAGCAATGTGGTACTGATATAAAGACAGGTATATAGATCAATGGAATAGAAGATGGCCCAGAAACCCTTGCATATACAGTCAAAGGATTTTTGACAAGAATGGCAAGACCAAATGGGAAAGGATAGTCATGTCAACAGATGGTGCTGGGAAAACTGCATATCCAAATGAAAAATAATTAAGTTGGAGCCTTATCTAACACCATATACAAAAATTAACTCAAGGTGGATCAGAGACCTAAACGTAAGAAGACCCAAAACTATAAAACTCTTAGAAGAATACACACGGCAAAAACTTCATGACCTTGGATTTGGCAATGATTTCCTGGATATGAAATCAAAGACACACAAAACAAAAGAAAAAAAATCACAGATTAGGTTTTATAAAAATGGAAAAATTTTGTTCATCGAAAGACAGTATCTCTGGGACAGAATAGGTGATGACAGAATCAAACAGAGAAACACAATGTCAACAGAGTAAAAAGGCAATCATGAAATGGAAAAAATGTTTGTGATTCATATATCTGATAAACATTAATATCCAGAATACATAGAAAACTCCTAAAATATAGCAATGACAACCAAAAACCCCCAAACAACTTGATTTTTAAAATCGGCAAAGGACTTGAATAGACATTTCTCCAAAGAAGGTATATAAATGGGCAATAAGTACATGAAAAGATGCTCAATATCACTAATCATTAGAGAAATGCAAATCAAACTACCATGAGATACTACCTTGCACTTATTGGGATAGCTACTATCAAAAAGACAGAGTAAGCGTTGGTGAGGATGTGAAGAAATTGGAACTCCTGTGCATAGGTGTTGTTTTCTATGGAAAACAGTATGGAATTTCCTCAAAAAATTAAAAATAGAACTACCTTATGTCCAACAATTCCACTTCTGGGTTTATATATCCAAAAGAGCAGAAATCGGAGTCTCAAAGAGATATTTGCACATCCATGTTTGTAGCACCATTATTTACAATAGCTAAAATACGAAAGCAACCCAAGTGTTCACTGGTGGAAAAATGAGAAACAAAATGTGGTATAAACATAAAATGGAGGGCCGGGCACGGTGGCTCAAGCCTGTAATCCCAGCACTTTGGGAGGCCAAGACGGGTGGATCACGAGGTCAAGAGATCGAGACAATTCTGGTCAACATGGTGAAACCCCGTCTCTATTAAAAATACAAAAAATTAGCTGGGCACGGTAGCGCGTGCCTGTAATCCCAGGTACTCAGGAGGCTGAGGCAGGAGAATTGCCTGAACCCAGGAGGCAGAGGTTTCAGTGAGCTGAGATCGCGCCATTGCACTCCAGCCTGGGTAACAAGAGTGAAACTCCGTCTCAAAAAAAAAAAAAAAAAAAAAATACAATGGAATATTGTTCAGCCTTAAATGTAAGGAAATTCTGACAAACACTATAACATGGATGAACTCTGGGGACATTATGGTGAGTGAAGTAAGGCATTCACAATAAAACAAACACTGCATGATCCCACGTGTATGAGGTACTTAGAGCAGTCAAAATCATAAAGACAAAAAGTAGAATGGTGGTTGCCAGGGACTGGGGGATAGGGAAATGGAGAGTTATTGTTTAATGGGTACAGAGTTTCAGTTTTACAAGATGAGAAGAGTTCTGGAGATGAGTGCTGATGATGATTGCACAACATTACGAATGTACTTAAAGACACTGGATCATACGCTTAAAAATTATTACAATGGTAAATTTTACGTTATGTGCATTTTACCACAATAAAGATGAAAAAAGTATCGCTTACTTTTTAAGCTGATGTGTGCGAGCAGCTGTTACAGAAAGAATGGGGAAAGTTGAAGAATAATAAGTACAGCCTACTAAATTGGCTCTCTCCAAACAGTATGGAGGTTCCTCAAAAAACTAAAAACAGAACTACCAGTTGATTCAGCAATCTTATTGCTGGGTATATACCCAAAATAAAGGAAATCAACCTATTGAAGAGTTATCTCCACTCCCACGTTTGTTGCAGCACTGTTCACAACAGCCAAGATTCAGAAGCAACCTAAGTGTCCATCAACAGACGAATGAATAAAGAAACTATGGCACATATACACGACGGCGTACTAGTCCACCATTAAAAAAATAAGATCTTGCCATATGCAAAAACAAGGATGAAGCCAGGCACAGAAAACAGACTTTGCATGTTCTTACTCATTTGAGCTAAAAATTTAAATAACTGGACTCAAGAAAATAGAGAGGAAGGATGGTTACCAGAGGCTGGGAAGGATGGAGAGTGGGAAGAATGGGGATGATGAATGGATTTGAAAAACAGGAAGAATGAATGATAGCACAAAAGGGTTACTACTGTCAGCAATAGTTTGCTGTACCTTTCAGAATAACTGAGGGAGTACAACTGGAGTCTTGGTAACACAAAGAAATAATGAATGCTTGAGAGTATGAACAGCTCATTTACTCTGATGTAGTTATGATACATTGTATGCCTGTATCACAATATCACATATACCCCAGAAATATATATACTTTGTATGCATCCATAAAAATTGAAAAATGCTTAAATAAAATAAATAAGTAAATTGGTTCTCTCCATGCCTTAGAATCACCTAGAAGGCTGAAGCCTTCTGGCTAAATACAGCTTGCTGGGCTTCACCCCAAGAGTTTCTGATTCGGTAGGTATGAGGTGGGGTGCATGTACATTTCTAATAAGTTCCCAGCTGATGCTGATATGCTAATAAAGAGACCACACTGTTGGAAGAATCATTTTGATAAATTTAATGACCTTGGAATTGTACCAGCTTAATTTAGGGCAATGATTCTCAGTGGAGGCATGGGCCTTGCTGTCTCAGAGGATGGAGAGAGAGAGAGAGAGAGGAGAAAGAAAGAAGAAAAAAAACCAAGCATAATCTCAAAAAGGGTATTTGTTATTTACAATTTGGAAGGCAAAACATAATTTTGCTTTCCTAACACAAACGAAAGAAAGTAATTTTTTAAAAAAAGATTTAAAATTATTTATTTATTTATTTATTTATTTTTTAGAGACAGGGTCTCACTCTGCTGCCCAGGCTGGAGTGCAGTGTCAGGATTATAGCTCACTGTGGCCTCGAACTCCCACCATAAGCCATCCTCCTACCTCAGCCTCCCAAAGCACTGGGATTACAGGCATGAGCCACTGTACCCAGCTGTGCCTTGTATTCAAGCGAATTTTCTTTTTCATATACTTTTTATTTTTTTAAGATGGAGTTTCACTCTTGTTGCCCAGGCTGGAGTGCAGTGGCGTGATCTTGGCTCATTGCAACCTCCCCATCCAGGGTTCAAGTGATTCTCCTGTGTCAGCCTCCCAAGTAGCTAGGATTACAGGTATGCACCACCATGCCCGGCTAATTTTTTTTTTTTTTTTTGGTAGGAATGAGGTCTCACTATGATGCCCAGGCTGCTCTCAAACTACTGGTCTCAAGAGATTCTCCCTTCTCAGCCTCCCAAAGTGCTGGGATTATAGGCATGAGTCACCATGCCTGGCCTTATTCTTCTTAATTACAGATGAGGACACTAAAGCACAGAGAGATTAAATAATTACCCCACGGCCACATGGCTAGTAAATGGGCAAGCCAGGTTTCAACCCAGTTGACTCTCAGATCCCACACTTGACTACATTATTTTCCTCCTATGCCCTAATCTATTATGTAAACCACCAGTTTTACAGGACCAAAAGGTGTCCCTACTTTAGTTTTAAAGAATCACAAGATGGGCCTGGCGCGGTGGCTCAAGCCTGTAATCCCAGCACTTTGGGAGGCCGAGGCGGGTGGATCACGAGGTCAAGATATCAAGACCATCCTGGTCAACATGGTAAACCCCGTCTCAACTAAAAATACAAAAAGTTAGCTGGGCACGGTGGCGCGTGCCTGTAATCCCAGCTACTCAGGAGGCTGAGGCAGGAGAATTGCCTGAACCCAGGAGGCGGAGGTTGCAGTGAGCCGAGATCGCGCCATTGCACTTCAGCCTGGGTAACAGGAGCGAAACTCCATCTCAAAAAAAAAGAATCACAAGATGATCACTAAATGCCAACCTGAGACTTCACCATTTTCTAGATCTCAACTTGAATACAAAATGCCATGCTATTCCTACCGTTTCCCTGAGAAAACTGGGAAGAAATTTATTTATTTATTTGTGTGACAGAATTTTGCTTTTGTCACCCAGGCTGGAGTGAAGTGGTGCGATCTCAGCTCACTGCAACCTCCGCCTCCTGGGTTCCAGTGATTCTCCTGTCTCAGCCTCCCGAGTAGCCAGGACTCAAGTGCACACCACCATACGTGGCTAATTTTTGCATTTTTAGTAAAGACGGAGTCTCAACATGTTGGCCAGGCTGGTCTTGAACTCCTGGCCTCAGGTGATCCACCTGCCTCAGCCTCCCAAAGTGCTGGGATTACAGGCATGAGCCACCGTGTGTGGTGAGAACTGGGAATTTAGAAGGAGAAATGAGCACTATTCCACTTCAGCTTGAGCAGTTCCCAGGACTCCACTTACCCTTGCTGAGAGAATACCAGGAAGCCCCATTGATGATGCCATCTGGGAAGTAATCCCCGCAGTTCCAACCTTGGTACATCCATCCGTGTGCATAGGAGTAGATCTTGGCCAGCTAGAGGAAAAGCAAGCAGAAAATGACCTTGATGATTTCCAACTCAAATGGAAATGCTCCTACTCACAACTGGGGTGAAGCCAAGAGGCACTGCTGGGTACATAAACAGTGGATTATTTGCTTTAGTGAAATAAACTAGGATCGGGGATAGAGCCAGTGTATGTGTTTGTCAGACTGTGTGTATGTAGGTGGGTGTGTGTGAATGCATGTGTGTGAATGTGACTGTGCGTCTACGAGAGTGTATGTGTGGTAGGCTAGAGTTAGGAGTTCTGTATTCTGATTCTGTCACTGTGTTGGGGCTGAGTTTTCTCTTGTGCAAAGTGAGGAGTGGCAGTAGATGATATTGAAAGTCCCTTGTTGTTGTGCCATTTTCTAGCTGAATTTTTTCAATGAAATCGAGGATAAAGTAAGGTAGGACTTCTCCAGGAAAAGCAATGTGTATTTATTGGGTGAGAGGTGTGTGTTGGAGGAAGAGGAATATATTTGAACTCTGTAATTCTCCTTCATTACTATTTTATTACAGTGGACAGAGTAAAATTGATGGAGAAAAAACAATGTGCCATTCACCTTGTAGTTCATTAACGATTAATAATATCATTATGCTTATATTACATATTTTTATAATTTAGTTTATATATTTTATTATAAAATAATTCCTTTTTGTTTTTTGAGATGGAGTTTTGCTCTTGTTGCCCAGGCTGGAGTGCAATGCTGTGATCTCAGTTCACTGCAACCTCCGCTTCCTGAGTTCAAGTGATTCTCCTGGCTCAGCCTCCTGAGTAGCTGGGATTACAGGCGCCCGCCACGATGCCCAGTAATTCTTCTATTTTTAGTAGAGATGGGTTTTCACCATGTTGGCCAGACTGGTCTCGAACTCCTGCCTTCATGATCTGCCCACCTCGGCCTCCCAAAGTGCTGGTATTACAGGCGTGAGCCACCGTGCCAGGCCAATAATTACAAATTTATTATATTATACCATTTTACATATTATTAATATAAAATTAATGTTAACATATTTTATTCTATTTTGAATTGTTATTTAAACTGTTTCCATGTAGTCTATTTTTCTGTTTTTCTTTAAGGCTCCACCTAATACCATCACAGTCTATTTTTCATTAATGTGGACATATTATGATAAAATTATAATTGAGATCCCCCTAAAATTCACATTTAATGATACTCACACTGTTAGTCCTCAGGCATATTTCTTGCTCATCATTAGCCTAAGTATATTCTGCATTGTGGTAATTACTATAAAGCTTTCCTTGTATTTTCTTTTTTATGCATCTATGGCTTACCATTCAAAACAAAATGTAATTTACTAGACTGTAAGCACCTCACAAGCGGGCGGTGTTTTCAATTAATTTCGGTGGACTCGCACTGAATAGGGTTCTGTGTTACTGACCCTAAGCTCATCTCCTGAGCCCCAGGTTCCCCAGGCGGGACAGGCTGCCGTTCCACATACCTTCCGGAAAAGCTTGTCATCAGGCGTGGGGGTGTTGGCGGGGCGGCGGACCCCTCGGACCGGGTGCTCAAAGGACCTGTCATACGGGTAATTGGCCACCACCGCCCCTCCGTGGAGATTGGCTGAAAGGACAAAGTTGAAGGAGTGCATCCATCGGATCACCGCCCGGGTCTCAGGTTCCACCTGGGAGGAGGCGAGAGGTTGGTGGTGAAAAGGCAACTGGGGCTACCAAACAAACGGCCGTTAGAATAAGCCTGTCAGGAAGAGGCTTGAGGAGGTGAAATGTCTGAATGAACAGTGAGCATCCACTGGATGTGAGAAGGGGAGATGGGGAAATGCTGACCTTTGGAATGATGGTTTCAACAATGGAGTGTATGGAACTTTTTTCAAAATGAAATCTTATGTCGAATCCCAATATACAAAATAGGTAAAAAGAGAGCATTTAGGGCAAGGAAACTATTCTGTATGATACCATAATGGTGGCTGTATATCATCATACCTTTGTCAAAACCCATAGAATGTACAACTCCAAGAGAACAGTAATGTAACTATGGACTCAGAATGCTCATGATGAGTCAAGGTAGGTTCATGACTGACAGTGATAAATGCACCACTCTAGGGTGGGATGTTGATGGTGGGGTGGGCAGAGTGGGGCAGGGAGTATATGAGCACTCTGTACTTTTTGCTCAATTTTGCTGTGAGCCTAAAACTACCTTAAAAAAATAAAGCTATTGAGAGACAAAGTGGCGGTGGGGAGAGAAGTTTTTTTTTTTTTTTGAGACAGGGTCTCACTCTGTCACCCAGATTGGAATGCAGTGGTGCAATCTCAGCGTATTGCAGCCTCCACCTCCTGGACTCAAGCGATCCTCCCACCTCAGCCTCCCTAGTAGCTGGGATTACAGGCATGCAACACCACATCTAGCTAATTTTTGTCTTTTTTGTAGAGATGGGGCTTTGCCATGTTGCTGAGGCTAGTCTTTTTTTTTTTTTTTTTTTTTGACTTCATACTACAAGTCTACAGTAACCAGAGAGGCTGTTCTTAAACTCCTCAAGCAATCTGCCTGTCTCTGCCTCCCAAAGTGTTGGGATTACAGGCATGAGCCACCATTCCCAGCCAAAAAAGAGTTCTGTATGAACAGGTACCATGACTGGAGAGCTCAGAGCCCCTGCTTGGCCTCTCTCTAGACCCTAGAAAAGGGTTTCCATTTTACCCACTGCTCCAGTGACTTCTAAGTCATCTTAGCAGAAATTTAGGACTCCAATAAATCAATGTGCTGGAAAATGCTAGTTTACAGTGATGGCTTCAACCTCCTCCTTCCCTGCTGTAATGTTGACATGTAGAACACACTCCTGTGGTCATACCCAAATTTCAGGGGTTAGACATACTGTCAGATGGGCCAGTCTTGGCTAAGCAGTGAAATTCCACCCATTCTATTGCATATTATATTGCTAGCTAGTGACAGTATTCCAAAAAAAGCCTTGAATCCACTTGGACTTGCAGTATAAGTAAATAATTTACAGTCTGCTGTGTTTTTGCTTCTCTCAGGATGAACATGCTTAGATATTATGTGGTGTTACTGTGTTAATGGCTCCTCCTGGACCATGAGTCAGCTCTAAAGGCTCCATCTTTTCCATGCCAAGGGGACTGGATAAATAGGGTTGAGTCTCAATCAGAATGGATATCATTTTGAGGGCACTAGTCTTGGTCTGTGACCAGGGCTCAGACCCTCTGGAGCAGTTCTGTCTTTGTGTTCTAAGCCTCTGTCTATCAGAATAAGGCCAGCTTCTCACTGTTCCTCTTCCTCAAGGCTGTTCCATCAGGAGTGAAGGAAATCTCATTGCTTTTTCCCCTAAAATTTAGACTAGGATTGAATGGGAATCTAATTATCATTGATTCAATTATCTTATTTTACTTAGAGGAACAAGTTGAACATCAGAACATTCTTCTGGCTGGATATGCTGACTAACACAAAGTTTTTTGTTTTTTGGTGATTTTTATTTTTTGAGATGGAGTCTCGCTCTGTCACACAGTCTGGAATGCAGTGATGCAATCTGTAACCTTCACCATCTGGGTTCAAGTGATTCTCCTGCATCAGCCTCCCCAGTAGCTGGGATTACAGGCACCCACCACCACACCTGGCTAATTTTTGTATTTTTAGTAGAGACGTGGTTTTTACCATGTTAGCCAGATTGGTCTCAAACTCCTGACCTCAGCTGACCTACCCACTTCTGCCTCCCAAAGTGTTGGGATTATAGACATGAGCCATCGTGCCCAGCCTTACAAAGTTATTTTTTATTTACTATTTACTTGAACCAAGAGGATAGTTGCTGTCTAAATCTAACATACCAGCATGGCCTTTGCTTCATTTTCAAGAAAGAAAAAAACACAGGATATTCCATTTGGGAAACTCCCTATTAAAAGGCTTACACCTAATTTGCTTTTCTTTCCCCAGTCTCTAAGTTCAGACATTCACAAATAGAATGCTTCAAACTACCCCACACAGCGTGATCACCAGGGGTGGCAGTGATGCTCAGAGGATGCCTAGTTATTTTCAGGAGCAGGCCCGTCAGCAGGGTGAAACCACTCACATTACCAAGGACTTCCATTACAGGTCTCTTGGAGAGGGAGACCTAGGAATAGTGAATGGATCTTCCGACTGGAAGAGTAAGGGAAATCAGAGAGAGTATAGTGATGATAAAGGAGTCAAGGGTCATATAGAAAGGGAAAAGGAACAACTAAGGGTTAGATTCCCTGAACCTTTTTTTTTTTTTTGGTGACAGGGTCTTGCTCTGTTGCTCTGTCACTAGGGCTGGAGCAGGCAGGATAATAGTTCACTGTAACCTTGAACTCTTGAACTTCTAGGTTCAAGGGATCCTTCCAAATAGCTAAGTCTACAACATACGCCATTATACTCAGCTAAATTTTATATTTTTCTTTTGTTGAGATGGGGCCTCACTATGTTGCCCAGGCTGGTCTCAAACTCCTGGCCTCAGGCAATCCTCCCATCTCAGCTTCCCAAAGTGCTGGGATTACAGGGGTGAGACACCACACCCAGCCTGAGCCTCTTTCTATAGCTAATTGCTGATAAGCATACAGTTTATCACATGTAAGACAGACTTCTCTATAGAATGCTAGAGTTCTCTGTCCACAGTCTAGTGTAGTAAAAAGAATGTTGGAATAAGAATCAGAAGGCCTGCATCTTCATCCTGATTCCATCAATTACTACCTGTGAGAATGTAAATTATTTTCTAAGTGTAATAGCCATAAAACAGAGATGGATAACACTGCTCGATGCATTTCACCACATGATGTCATGATCAACTGAACCTGGCTATGAAATAATTTTGGAAAATTGTTAAGAACCATGCAACCATATGATGCTGCTTTCATCTACTTCACCACAATACTACTAACATCAAACATTTAGTGAGTGTGTGCTCCATGGAGGGTTCTATGCAGGGGGAGAAAATAAATACAAAGATGCAGAAGTAATGGGTATTATTGCTCAAGATGGGTTAACACTGAGTTGAGTTGATGATTAATTCTTGACTGTTAGTTGATGTGAAGATGGCTTAGAAGTCTTTCTTTCTTTCTTTCTCTTTTTGGAGAGGGAGTCTTGCTTTGTCACCAAGGCTGGAGTGCCATGGTGTAATCTCAGCTCACTGCAACCTTTGTCTCCCAGGTTCAAGCAATTCTCTGCCTCAGCCTCCTGAAAAGCTGGGATTACATGCGCCTGCTACCATGCCCAGCTAATTTTGTATTTTTAGTAGACAGGGTTTCACCATTTGGGCCAGGCTGCTCTTGAACTCCTGACCTCGTGATCCACCTGCCTCGGCCTCTCAAAGTGCTGGGATTACAGGTATGAGCCACTGTGCCTAGCCGGCTTACCAGTCTTTCTGCAAGAAATGCCAGATGCTGATTCACCTGCTTTGTTTGCAAATTTCATCTCCTACCTGACTTTTCCAGTTGTCTGGAAGGGGCAGGTGGTGGTTGGGGCCTCCGGACTTCTCATTGTAGTAGATATAGGTATTGAGATCAGGGAAGTTGCGGTTCAGGTCCACTCCATTTGCATTGTTCCTGCCAACTAGATACCCAAGCTTGTTTGGGCCCTAAGGGGAAAATGAAAAGATGAAAAATGAAGGTTGCAGATTGAATCCTATATTTTCTAACTTTTCCTTTTTTTTTTTTTGAGACAGATTCTCGCTCTGTTGCCCAGGCTGGAGTGCAGTGTTACAATCTTGGCTCACTGCAATCTACACCTACCGGGCTGAAGCAATCCTCCTACCTGTCTCCTGAGGAGCTGGGACTATAAGCACATGACACCACACCAGCTAATTTTTCTTTTTTCTTTCTTTCTTTTTTTTTTTTTGGTAGAGATGAGGCTGGTTGCCCAGGCTGGTCTCAAACGGCTGGGCTCAAGTGATCCACCCACAGCACCCTTCCAAAGTAGTGAGAGGCCAGGTGCCATGGCTCAAGTTTGTACTCCGAGCACTTTGAGAGGCAGAGATGGGTGGATCACTTGAGGGTAGGAATTCAAGATAAGCCTGGCCAAAATGGTGAAACACCATCTCTGCTAAAAAATACAAAAATTAGCTCGGTGTGGTGGCACATGCCTGTAGTCCCAGCTACTCGGGAGGCTGAGACATGAGAATCACTTAAACCCAGGAAGTGGAGGTTGCAGTGAGTCAAAATTGCGTGGTGACAGAGCAAGGCTGTCTAAAAAAACAAACCAAACAAACAAAGTGCTGAGATTATAGCCAAGAGCCACCAACACAGCCACGAATCCTATATTTGAAGGACATTGTATAGTTCTTAGATATTCGCTTAATCAAATGATGTGGCGTTTTTTTTTTTTTTCCTTTAGTCCCCATCACAGGAAGATGAATCATTTTCTTCTTTAATTTATCCAAAGTCACAGTGGTGTGCTTCCAGTTTCCCTGCAGATCATGGGCAAGAGGTACATATCTCAAGAGAAGTTCTAGTAAGAGTAGGGTGTTTCAGGATCATGAGAACCCCCGTTTTTTTTGTTGTTTTTTTGAGATGGAGTTTTGCTCTTGTTGCCCAGACTGGAGTGCAATGGTATGATCTTAGCTCACCGCAACCTCCGCCTCCTGGGTCAAGCAATTCTCCTGCCTCAGCTTCCCAGGTAGCTGGGACTACAGGCATGTGACACCACACCAGACTAATTTTATATCTTTAGTAGAGACAGAGTTTTCTCCATGTTGGTCAGGCTGGTCTTGAACTCCCAAACTCAGGTGATCCACTTGCCTTGGCCTCCCCAAGTGCTGGGATTATAGACATGAGCCACCATGCCTGGCTTACCCCAATGTTTCATAAATAGCTTTATTGAGATATAATTCATATATTATAAAATTCACTCATTTTCAGTGTATAATTCAATGAATTTTAGTATATGTACAGAGTTGTATAACCATCATTGCAATCTAATTTTAAACATTTCTGGCACCCTTAATAGACACCTAATTCCCATTTACAGTCACTCCTCATTTTCATCCCAGCCCTAAGTAATCACTTTCTGTCTCCTGATTTGCCTGTTCTGGACATATCACATAAGTGGGTCATACATTATGTGTTCTTTTGTGGGTTTTTTCCTCCACTCGGCATAATGTTTGTGAGGTTCATCTACATTGTAGCATGTATCAGAACTTCATTTCTTTCTATTGCTGAATAGTTCTATTATGTGATTTATCATATTTTTTTTATCCATTCACCAGTATCAGTATTAGCTCAATACTATTAGTATTAGTATTAGGAAACTGTATTAGTTTCCTAGGGCTGCCATAACAATCACTACAAACTAAGTGGCTCCTAACAACAGCAATTTATTCTCCAATTTATATTCTGGAGGCCAGAAGTTGTAATCAAGTCAACTGTGGGGGTGGCACACTCTCTGGTTCTCCTCTTTGTTTCTTCCAGCTTCTGGTGGCTGGAGGCAATCCTTGGTGTTCCTTGGCTTGTAGACACATCACTCTCATTTCTGCTTTCATCTTTACATGGTCTCCTTCCTAGTCTGTCCACATCTCTATTCACAAATTTCTTTCTTCTTATAAGGACACCAGTTATGCTGGATGTAGAGTCCACCCTGATCCTATGTGACCTCCTTTTAACATAATTGTATCTGTAAAGACCCTCAGTAGGCCCTCCATATCCATGGGTTCCAAATCTGTGGATTCGACCCACCTCTGATTGAAAGTGTAGTTACGGGCCGGGTGCAGTGGCTCACACCTGTATTCTCAGCACTTCGGGAGGCCAAGGTGACTGGATCACCTAAGGTCAGGAGTTTAAGACCAACCTGGCCAACATAGTGAAACCTCATCTCTACTACAAATACAAAAATTAGCCGGGCATGGTGGCATGCACCTGTAGTCCCAGCTGCTTAGGAGGCTGAGGTAGGAGAACCACTTAAACCCAGGAGGCAGAGGTGGCAGTAGGCCAAAATAGCACCACTGAACTACAGCCTGGGCAACAGATCTAGACTCTGTCTCAAAAAATAAAAAAAAAAGAAAAGTAAATATAGTTAGACCTATATTGGTTGCATCTGTACTGAACATGCACATACTTTTTTCTTGTCCTGATTCCCTAAACAGTACATTATAACAAGTATTTACGTAGCATTTACATTGTATTGGGTAACATAAGTAATCTAGGGATTATTTCAAATATATAGGAGGATGTGCATAAGTTATATGCAAATACTATGCCATTTTCTATAAGGGACTTGAGCATCCAAGGATTTTCGTATTGGTTAGGGGCCCTGGAACCAATCACCTACAGATACCGAAGGATGACTATGTCTTTCCAAGTGAGATCATATTCACAGGTTTCAGGTGAATGTAAATTTTGGCGAGGGGTGGTAGGGGGAGATCCATGGACATTCAGGTTGTTTTCACCTTTTGGTTATTGTTAATAATGCTGCTTTGAACATTCATGTACGTCTTTGTGTGGATGTATGTTTTCATTTCCTCTGGGTAGATATCTGTAAGTAGAACTGCTGAGTCATAAGCTAAGTCTATTTTTAACTTTTTTTTTTTTTTTTGAGATAGAGTCTCACTCTGTTGTCCAGGCTGGAGTGCAATGACATGATCATGGCTCACTGCAGCCTCAAACTCCTGGACTCAGGTGGTCCTCCCACCTCAGCCTCCTGGTAGCTGGAACTTACAGGCACGTGCCACCACACCAGGATAATTTTAAATTACTTGTAAAGATGGGGCTTTGCCATGTTGCCTAGGCTGATCTCGAACTTCTGGGCTCATGCAATCCGCCCACCTCCCAAAGTGCTGGAATTGTAGACGTGAACCACTGTGCCTGGCCTTATGTTTAACTTTTTGAGAAACTGTTAAACTGTTTTTCAAAGTGGTTACACTATGGAAACTCACTCTTCCACCTTTCAAGAAATTTAGGATCCTTACTTATCTTCTTTCTTCTAAGCAATATCAACTTTCTGGATCCCTTAATTTCTCTGTCCGTATTTCAAATTTTTCATTTATTTGCTCATGTATTCATTCACTCATTAGGCCATCTATGTAGTCAACCAACATTTGCTTAAGTCCTTCTCTATTCAGAGCTCTCAGCTAGACACTGGGGAAAGAGATAAGTGAGACATTGTCATCTAGCCTTCTTGGAATTCATAGTACACATGGGGAGATGAACATATACATAAATAATTAAATACACAGAATGATAGAATAGAGATATTCTATCATCTCTATTCTATCTCATTCAAAGGCTCATTTAAAATTGTTAAAAGCCTCATTCAAAACTGAAATTCCATTTAATGTTTTGTGTGGCATTGGAGAAGGGAAATAGTGCCAACTGGGTTCCTGTAGACTGAGAAGGTGGAGCCCAAATTGTTGGCTGTTCCTGGAAGTGAATGAATGGATGCCGGGCAGCTAGAATCTTGCAGATGTACTGCCACTCTCAAATTTTCCCTTTTCTAACCAATAAAATGTAGATTACACTTTTTCTAAGAATTTTGTATTCTAAGAATTCTGTATTGTTCTCAGATTTCTCTCTTTTCATGGCACTCTGCTTGTATTTTATTTTTAGATCCCATTGAAAACATCATTTTTTTGAAGTTCCTTTAAGTTTCCTACGTCACTTCTGTTCCAGTGGAAAACATTTATTGGGTCTTTCATTTTGGTGTATAATTCTGTGACATAATCATTTTCTTTATGCTTCCAGCAGCTTGTCACTGCTTGCTGATTTATACCAAGGCACTCTTTTTTTTTTTTTTTTCTTATTATATCAAGGTACTCTTGACTGTCAGCATAAACACCTCTGGTCATTTTCCGATAATTTCCCTGCATACTGGTCAATAGCTAGGCTGGCAGAAAGGGGCTTCCCCTAACAGAAGGTTCCCATAAACAGGGCTAGTGTTGTGTTTCCTATTACTGCTGTAAAAAATTACCTCAAATTTAGTGGCATAAAACAGCATGAGTGAGCAAACTGACACAAGAACAGAAAATGAAACACCGCATATTCTCACTCATAGGCAGGTGATGAACAATGAGAACACATGGACACAGGGAGGGGAGCACTACACACTGGGATCTATTGGGGGGAATAGGGGAGGGACAGTGAGGCGGGGAGCTGGGGAGGGATAGCATGGGGAGAAATACCAAATGTAGGTGAAGGGGAGGAAGGCACCAAAACACACTGCCACGTGTGTACCTATGCAACTAACTATCTTGCATGTTCTGCACATGTACCCCAAAACCTAAAATGCAATAAAAAAATTATATTGTTAAAAAAAAAACAGCATGAGTGAATTGTCTCATAGTTTTGGAGGTCAGAAGAATAAAATGGATCTCGCAGGCAGGCCTAAAAGCAAGGTGTCAATGGGCTACATTTTTTCAGGAGTCTAGGGGAATCTGTGCCCCGACTTTTCCAGCTTCCTTGGCTCTTCCATCTTTAAAGCCAGCCAGTGGAACATCTTCAGATCTCTCTCTGACTGTGACCTTTGGCCTCCCTCTTCTACATTTAAAGGATCGTTGTAATTGATTACTCTGGGCCCTGTCCCCCCAGTACTCCAGGTTATTTTAAGGTCAACTGATTAGCAACCTTAGTTCCATCTGCAACCTTAATTCTTCCTTGCCCAATATCATAACATATTTATAGGTTCTAAGGAATAGGATGTGGACATCTTTGGTGGATTATTCTGGCTACCTACAAGCAGCTTTAAAGTCTGGTGTCCAGGAAGGTCTCTGTGTAGCCACGAAGACAGCTTGCCTCTGGGCATGGAAGGTATCTCTGAGAGTCTGAGAACATGATGGGTCCTCTCTGGGGTTCAGGTTCAAGATCTGCTCCCTCTGAACAAGAACACAGGAGGTGACAGAGGTGACCAGCTTCCCAGAGATGGCTCTAAGATTCAGTGGGCTGGCAGGGGTTTTCCCCACTCCCTCCCACTCCACCTACTGCAGAGGATGTGGGCAGGACTGAGCTGGTTCTCCATTCTCCTCACTGCAATACAGGAAAGGGCTAATAGAAGGAAAACAGCCAGGCTGGGATTCCCTCCCACACCTCCTTCTAATTTTCCTGCTCTTTGGGAACTCAAGTCTCGAGGAAAAGTAGTGGGTACCACCCTGATGGTACCCACTTTCCAGTGGTGAAACAAAGTTCTCTTTCTTCATTTGTTGAGTCATTTCAGCAGGAAGTGGTAAGACTGCAAGAGTCAAGTTTGTGTTTGGTTCAACGTCCCGGCTCCATTCCTCTCTCTGTCTCTACTTACCCCCCAGCCCTATCCTCAAGATGGTTTAAAATATGCCTTAACATACTCTGCCTAAGAAAACCCCACCTTTTAAACACAGATTTTAAAGGAACATCCCCATTGCGTAAGGCAGAGAGATTCCTGGTCTCACCTAGACAATTCTAATTCAGTAGGTCTGGGGTGGGACCTGGGAATCTGTATTTCAAAATCTTCACTTGTGATTCTAATGCACAGCCACGAAACAGAACCACTGATTTAAAGTTAGGCACATCGGTCCAAAACACTCAAGATGTTAATAATAATAATAATGTTAGGCACTCTGATGTTTTGAATTTATGTTAGAAAATAAAGTAAGAAGTCCTGCCAGGTGCGGTGGCTCACGCCTGTAATCCCAGCACTTTGGGAGGCTAAGGTGGGTGGATCACGCGAGGCTAGGAGTTGGAGACCAGCCTGACCAACCTGCTGAAACCCCGTCTCTACTAAAAACACAAACAATTAGCTGGGTATGGTGGTACACACCTGTAGTCCCAGTGACTCGAGAGGCTGAGGCAGGAGAATCACTTGAACCCAGGAGGCAGAGGTGGCAGTGAGCTGAGATTGCGCCACTGCACTCCAGCCTGGGCAACAGGGCAAAACTCCGCCTCAGAAAAAAATTTTTTTTAAGTTCTTAGACATTTTTTCTTATTGGTCCCACTGCAAATATAACTCTAAAATATAGAATCAATAGGCTAAGTACTATACTAGTAAACAACTCTATGGAAATATAACAAAGTACAAAGAATCTAGAATTAGCCCCCCTACCCCCCCAATTCTGGGGAAAGCCTGTTGTCCTTGATATTTTCTCTGCAAATGCAAATGGGAATGTAGTGTGGAAGGAAGGAAGGTATTTAGGGTTTGAAGCTAAAAGCTCAGGAAAGGAGCTTTATTTTGCAATATCCCTCCACATCGGTTGAGTATTTTCCAGGTTATAAAGTGTTGTCACAGATATTGCCACATTAATCCTCACAGTAAAATCCTGAGGTCATCTGGAAAGGTGTTGGGGGATGCAGGCTCAGAGAGAGCCCACATTTATTGCCTGAGGTGCTGTAGGACTGAAGCCTGGTCTTCACCCTTTCTTATATTTCTGATGGGGTTTTTTTCTCTCAGCCATTTTGCCTTTTAACATTTGTGACATTTACAGTGGGACAGAGAAGGCATCTTGTCTACTGGCCTTTATTTCCTAAGAAGGCCTTCATCTCTCCCCAGCATCTCCCTTGGACCTTGTACCTGAGCGGCAGCCACCTCATAGCCGTCGGGGTTCATGGATGGCAGGATGTGAATGCGCGTGTCCTGGATGAGCCGGACGATGCGCTGGTTCCTGTTCCGGAACTCCTCACACAGGAACTCCGACAGCTGCAGCATCAGCTCACGGCCCAGCGCTTCGTTGCCATGCATGTTTGCCACATACTTGACCTCTGGCTCCACTGCAAGGAAGAAATGCAAGGAAGAGAAGAGAGGGGGAAAGCCTGGAAGTTCCATTGATGCCTAGCCTTGCACAAGGACCTTTTTTCTCTTTTTCAGTAATGAATGAAAAAAAAATAAGTGGGTCTTTTGCAAAAATCCCTGAGCGCCTTCTTAACCAATTACAATGACAAAAGCTACCAAATTCATGCCAGGGATAATAACCAGTGCCATTTACTGAACCCCTGTAGTGTACTAGACAGTTATGTTCAATACTGCTAATCTTCACAGAAAACCTGTAAAATGGGCAGTAATAGCCTCAGGGTGAGAGTAATAAGGATGGGGGAGGTTAAGTAACTTGTCTGAGGTTGCCTAGCTAATGGCTCTGATGGAGGCCCAAGCCCAGGTGGCACTTACAGTGCCATTTACAGTAGGACACTGCTTCTCAGAGACAAACCTTTCAGGATAAGGAAGTTTCCCTAGAACCTGCCCTTATGAAGTACTCTAGGTTTAAGCATAACAGCTGCTAATGATCCCAGTTGAAAACTTAATTTTCTTGGTCCTCGAAAAGTTTCTTGCTCCATCTGAACAAGAACACAGCAGGTGAGCAGAGGTGACCAGCTCTGCAGAGATGGCTCTAAGATTGAGTGGGCTGGTAGAGGTTTTCCCCACTCCCTCCCACCCCACCTACACAAATAGGATTGTGGGCAAGACTGAGCTGGTTCTCCATTCTCCCCACCGCAATACAAGAAAACTAAAATCACTCCTTCAAATCCAAGCAGGCCAAGTCTGGAGGCATAGAACAGGAAGGCACCTACTATGTCTCATTGCTTAGTCTTCTCTTTGGCCATGTTAATTGTTTAACTTGAGGTGAGAATTGAGGATCTGAAAGCTTCTGGGATCACCTAAAGAAAATCATTCCATGGAGAGGCACAGTGGCACATGACTGTAATCCCAGCATTTTGGGAGCCAAGGTGGGTCACGAGGTCAAGAGATCGAGAGTATCCTGGCCAATATGGTGAAGCCCCATCTCTACTAAAAATACAAAAAGTAGCTGGGTGTAGTGGTGAGTGCCTGTAATCCCAGCTACTTGGGAGGCTGCGGCAGGAGAATCACTTGAACCTGGAGGCAGAGGTTGCAGTGAGCCGAGATCGTGCCACTGCATTCCAGCCTAGTGATACAGCGAGACTCCATTTCCAAAAAAGAAAGAAAGAAAAGAAAATCACTTTTGCCCTTATTTATGTATGTATTTAGTTATTTAGAGATGGAGTCTTGCTCTGTTGCGCAGGCTGGAGTGCAGTGGCGTGATCTCGGCTCACTGCAACCTCCGCCTCCCAGATTCCAGCAATTCTCCTGTCTCAGCATCCCAAGTAGCTGGGACTACAGGCACCTGCCACCACGCCCAGCTAATTTTTTGTATTCTTAGTAGAGATGGGTTTCACCGTTAGCCAGGATGGTCTCAATCTCCTGATCTCATGATCTGCCTGCCTCTGCCTCCAAAAGTGCTGGGATTAAAGATCTGAGCCACAGGGCTCAGCTCTTGCCCTCTTTTAAAAGAAGAGGCTCTTGCAAGTGATTTCTCTTCCACCCAACACTTTCCTGCCTCCATGACTTTTCTGTTTCTGTACCTCTTCATCTCATCATTTCCAAATCCTCCTCACCACCCTTCTAGGCGCAGTCCACATGATACTCTGGGAAGTAATCCTAGGTTCTCCTTGATGAGAGAGAGCTCTCTGTTGACTTCCTGGGTTTTACTTTTTTTTTGAGAAGAGAGTCTTGCTCTGTCACCCAGCCTGGAGTGCAGTAGTGCAATCCCAGCTCACTACAATCTCTGCCTCTTGGGTTCAAGCGATTCTCCTGCCTCAGCCTCCAAAATAGCTAGGACTACAGGTGTCTGCCACCACACCCAGCTAAATTTTGTATTTTTAGTAGAGATGGGTTTTCACCATGTTGGCCAGGCTGGTCTCAAACTCCTGACCTCAGCTGATCTGCCAGCCTCAGCCTCCCAAAGTGCTTGAATTACAGGTGTGAGCCACCATGCCTGGCAGGGATTTACCTATTTTTGTAGGTGTTCTATTTCCTTTACTAAACCTGGCCTTAGCAGTGTACATAATTTTTAATTTGTGACACCATCCATTATTATTTATCTTAGTATATCTACAGCAGTTTTTCTCAGAGGAATGCTGATAACCCACAAGAATCATGTGGTAGATTTTCTATCGTGGGTATTCTTTCATCTTAATGTATTTTTTTTTCATTGTAGCTTATGTTTTCTTACTTTTCTTGGTGTTAAAATGTCTTTTCCGTTAGAAAAGGATGGATATAATAGATGACAGGTAGTTTTTTTCATATCCTTATTCAATAAAATAAAATTTGGAAGATCTGTTTTAGTTATCTCCAGTCTCCTATTTAAAAAAAAAACTTTTTAACTGCTTTATGAAATCTATATCCGGGAACCACTACCCTATGGAACTTTGGACAGTGCCATGAACTTAGTAGATGCTTAATATCAAATTCTTTTGGCTCTCCTTTTTCTTTTCTTATCTTTATTTATTTGTTTATTTATTTATTGAGATAGGATCTTGCTCAATCATTCATGCTGGAGTGCAGTGACACAATCATAGCTCCAGGCAGCCTCTCAAATTCCTTGGTTCAAGCCATTCACCCACCTCAGCCTCCTGAGTAGCTGGGACCACAAGTGTCCACCACCACACCAGGCTAATTTTCTAAAAAAAATTTGTTACAGAGACAAGGTCTCACTATGTCACCCAGACTGGTCTCAAACTTCTGGTCTCAAGCAATCCTCCCAAAGTACTGGGATTACAGACATAAGCCACTACAGCTGGCCTCTGCTGTCAGTACATCTAGAACACAACCATTTCTCCTAACAATCGCTGCTATCATTTTCGCCAAGCCCCTGCACCCTCAAATTGGTACTATTGGCAATATTAGGTCATTGCCATAACTCTTCCACTTGGTCTCCCTGCAGCTGCCTAGCCCCATTAAAGTCTTGGGTTTGACAAAACTTTTTTTATAAAGGACTAGAGAGTAAATCCCTTAGACTTTGTGGGCTGTACTGTCTCTGTCACGGCTACTCAACTCTTCCAGCAAAAGCAGCCATGGACAAGGTAAAAGTGAATGGGTGTGACTGTGTTCCCATAAAACTTCATTTACCAAAACAGGTGGCTAGCCCTCAGGCTGTAGTTTGCTGACCCCTGTTCTGAGTGATCTTTAAAAACTTTGAGTCAGATCGAGTCTCTCTTCTGCTTAAAAAACCCTCCAGTGGCTTCACTTGACTCAAAGTAAAAGCCCAAATCTTTACCAGGGCCTATGAGACCCTGCATGATGTCTTATTGCCTGGTGGCCCCATCACATGGCTGTGACCTCCTCTCCTGTTCTCCCCTCGTTCACTTGGCTAGAGCTGCCCTGGACCCTTGCTGTTCCTCACATGTGCCAAGCATGCTCCAGAGCACTGCCTTTGCTCTTCCCTCTGCCCGCATCTTTTCCTCCCCAATGTCAGCACGACATGTGCCATCACACCATCCTTCAGCTCTCCTCAAAGCCACTTCAGTGGCGACACCTCTTCTGAGCACCTCTCCTCATCTTCCTCCATGGCATCCCTATCTCTTTTTCCTGATTCAGTTTTCTCTACAGCACTTATTTCCATCTGATGTCATATGCATTACTTAGTTACCCATTTATTGTCAGTCTTACCCCCACTAGAATTCAGGTCCATGATGGCAGGGTCATTGTTTTATTCTCTGCTGTACTTCCAGAGACTATAAAAGTCCTCGAATATTGTAGCTGATTGGTAAACATTTGTGGAATGGATGAAGGAATGAAAGGAATGAATGAGTGAATAGCAGTTACAGTGCTTCAGAGAAAAGAGGGAATAGTGAGGGCTAGAGTCCTATAAAAAAGCTTCAAGGAAGGCTCTGAATGCTAGAAAGTACAGAAGCACCAAGAAGGAGGCTTGGAGTGTTGGGAGCTAACCCCATGATGTCCATGAATACTTGCAAGCTTCCACAGTGAACACAGGATCTGACTGACAGCAGGCTGCTTGCTATGAAAGTGCAGCTTTAAAGTGAGGCAATTATCCTAGGTAAACCCATGGCCTTCTTTGAGCCTCCACTATGCAATATTCTGAATCTCAGGAAAAGTAAGGATTTAGGAAAAATTTTCTAGCATTTGTGTACCAAATGGAAGGTTCAAAGAGTGCAGCAGTTAGAAGTTAGAGACCTGGCTGGGCATGGTGGCTTACGCCTGTAATCCCAGCTGTTTGGGATGCCAAGGTGGGTGATCACTTGAGGTCAGGAGTTCGAGACCAGCCTGGCCAACAGGGTGAAACCTTGTCTTTACTAAAAATTAAAAAATAATTAGCCAGGTGTGGTGGCACACGCCTGCCAGCTACTTGGGAGGCTGAGGCAGGAGAATGACTTGAACCAGGGAGGTGGAGGTTGCAGTGACCTGAGATTACATCACTGCACTTCAGCCTGGGCATCAGAGCGAGACTCCATCTCAAAAAAAAAAAAAGTTAGAGACCAGTTAGGAGTTCAGTGCAATCATTTAGACAGCTTGTGATGGAGCCTGGATTCGGGCAAGGGATGTGGAAGTGGAGACGTAGAGGGAGATTTGAAGTTGACAATTTGAAGGAGGAATTGGTAAGGAAAGCAATGAGAAATTAGAAACAACGTGAATGTCCATCAATACATGGACAGTTCCATATAGTCATGCAATGAGCTATTACGCAGCCAACACCACGATGATGAAGATCCGTACTTGTAGACATGGATGCTGTCCATAACAGATTGGGAAATGAGAAGGGCAGTTATAATACGAGTCCATTTCTATAGAAACAATTACATGTGTTTGTGTCGGGGGTTTAAATGTGCATAGAAAAAAGTCTGGAAGGATATACATCAATAGGTTAACAGTGGTGGGATTTGGGGTGAGTTTTATTATTTTTTTCCTTAACTAATTTCTAAATTTTAATCCAAACATGGATTGCTTTCTATAGTAGGGAAAAAAAAAACTAAAAAAGAATCCAGGCTGGGTACAGTGGATCATGCCTGTAATCCCAACACTGGGAGGCTGAGGTGGGCAGATCGCCTGAGCCCAGGAGTTTGAGATTAGCCTGGGTAACATGATGAAACCCTGTCTCTACTAAAAATACAATAATTAGCCGGGGGTGGTGGCGCATGCCTGTGGTCCCAGCTAAGCAGGAGGCTGAGGGGAAAGGATCACCTGAGCCCAGAAGGTCAAGACTGCAGTGAGCTGAGATCATGCCACTGCATTCCAGCCTGGACAACAGAGCCAAACCCTGTCTCAAAAAAAAAAAAAAAAAAAGACCAGGCACTGTGGCTCCTGCCTATAATCCCAGCACTTTGGGCGGTCAACATAGTGAAACCCTGTCTCAACTAAAAATACAAAAAAATTAGCCAGGTGTGGTGGTGGGTGCCTGTAATCCCAGCTACTTGGGAGGCTGAGGCAGGAGAATTGCGTGAACCTGGGAGTCAAGGTTGCAATGAGCCGAGAGAGCACCATTGCACTACAGCCCAGACAACAGAGAGAGATTCCGTCTCAAAAAAACAAAAAAAAAGAATCCAGTAAATAAAACTAACACCTCAGTCCCCAAACTCTCTCTAGAACACTACGCTGTCACTCCTGGAAGAGATCTCCCTATTCCCTTCTAAGTTTCCTTGCACAGCTAGAAGGGCTCATTATTTCTGCCTATGTCTCCTGAGCCAGTGGATCAGGAAAAACAGAATAATAGCAAGGGGAAAAGAAAGGTAATGGGGGAACGGAAGGGGAATGGGACATGAGCAGGGAAGAAGACTCATCTTTTACCATTGAGGTTTTGAGCAAACAGAACCCAAAAAGGAGGAAAGGGCCGAAGTCTGAGTGAGGGTTGTGGCTCCCAGAGGCAGTGGCAGTTTGAGGGCTAAGAGGAAAACAGCACAGGCTGAGAAAGTGATAATTCCTTGTAGGTGGAGGAGTCCACTGACCACCCAGAAACCACCCCAATTACTGGATTTGCAAAGGAAAGGCCCTGCCCACACACCCTCAAGAGCTGTTCAGGACTTACGGGGCTCGTGGATTCCAGGGTGGTCGCTGAACTCCAGCACATAGAGGTGTCTCCCCTCCACGCTGCGCCCAATGCTGTAGACCCGTGTGATGCTGGGGCATTCGTTTTGCACCTTGTACAGTGTCCGTACAAGATCATCATAGCGGTGGTGGCTGAAGGTCACCGGGGCAACCAGCTTAAATAGAAGGAGGAGGTGGAGAAAGACTGAGAGCAGGTCTGACATCTTGCTGGGCTTTTTCAAAGAGAGCCACTGAAACGCGCCCCACCTCCTGCAACAACCTGGCCTCTTCACCCGCCAAAATCCAAGGTCTGCCGAGCTTCCCGCCTCGCCTGTAAACACCAGCCCCTGGAAGTCGTTCCCAAAAGTCCGTCCAAGGCTGGAAATTCTTTATGTCGCTCTGGAGTATCCACTCATCTCTTCTCCCTCACTCCCTTCCCTTCCCACATCCAGAAAAGCCTTTTGAAAGGTTTTTTGCACTTGCCTAGATGGGTAGTTTCACTGATTCTGGTTTACTGGTTAACTGGACTGTAAACAGGCTTCAATAAATAGCTGCTTATAACCCTTTGATTCCCGGATAATTTTTTAAAACTTGGCCTCTTCCTGTTTCCTTTATTACAACTTTCAAAAAGAGTTCTCTGTCACTTTTGATCCATCCCGTGTACTGCTGCCTGACTACCTTTTTGAAGCATGTCTGTATTTCATCCTTTCTTTCCTCAAAATTTTTTTTAACAGATTCCATTAAGAAAAGGAAAAGATTAGCCTTGGACTGGGAGAAAACAACTGTAAATCATGTATCTCATAATATCCCCCAATACATAAAGAATCCTTACAATACAATAAAAAGACAAATGACCCAATTAAAACATGGGCAAAACGTTAGACCAAAACAGATATACAAATGGCTAATAAGCACCTTTAAATATGTTCAATGTCATTAGTTGTTAAGGAAATGCAAATTAAAACCACATGAGATGCCAGGCATGGTGGCTCATGCCTGTAATCTCAGCACTTTGGGAGGCCAAGGTCGGAGGATCACTTGAGCCCGAGAGTTTGAGATCAGCCTGGGCAACACAGCAAGACCCCACCTCTACAAATAATTTAAATCTTAGCTGAGTGTGATGGCATACCTGTAGTTCCAGCTACTTGGGAGGCTGAGGCAGAGAATCACTTGAGCCTGGGTGGTGGGGGCTGCAGTGAGCCATGATCATGCCACTACACTCCAGCCTGGACAACACAGTAAGACCTCATCTCAAAAAAACAAACAAACAGAAACCACATATGAGATATTACTTTACCTCCACTAGAATGGCTATAATAAAAAAAGACAGACAATAACAAGTGTTGGTGAGAATAGGGAGAAACTGGAATTTTCATAAATAGTGCAGCCAGTTTGGAAAACCATTTAGCAGTTCCTTACAAGGTTAAATATTTACTTATTATATAACATAGCAATTTCACTCCTAGGTACCTATGCAAGAGAAATGAAAACATGCATCCACACAAATACTTGTACATGAATGTCCTAGCAGTATTGTTCACAAGAGACAAAAAGCAGAAACAACCCAAATATCCATTAACCACTGAGCGGATAAACAATATATGGCATATCCATACAATGAAATATTATTTGACAATAAAAAGGAGTGAAGTACTAATACATTGTACAATGTGAATTAATTTTAAACATATGCCCAGTGAAAGAAACCAGACCCAAAACACCACATATTGTATGTTTCACTTCATATTAATGTTTAGAAAAAGTAAATATATAAAGACAGAAAGAAGATTAGAGGTTGCAAGGTCTAGGATTAGATGGTGGACACAAAATTTCTTTTCAGAGTGATAGAAATGTTTTAAAATTAGATTGTGCTCATGGTGATGGCTATACAACTCTATAAATATACTAAAATTCGTTGAATTGCACACTTAAAACAGGTGAATTCTATGATATGCAAATTGTAGCTCAATAAAGCTGTTTTTAAAAAAGGGAATTAAAAAATAAGTACAGCCGCTGAAAGAATTAAATATAAATTTACCATACAACTCAATAATTCCATTCCTGGGTACCTACCCAAGAGAACAAACTCACCCACAGAATGTTTATAGCAGCATTATTCATAATAGGCAAAAAGTAGAAACTACCTTCATGTCGATCAACTGATGAATAAATAAAATGTGATATGGCCACACAATTGAACACTATTCAGCAATAAAAAGGAATAAAATACAACTTCATGCTACAATGTAGATGAACTTCAAAAACACCATGCTAAGTGAAAAAAGCCAGAAATGAAAAAAACACATATTGCGCAATTCCATTTATGTGAAATGTCCTGCAAATGTAAACCTATACAGACAGGAAGTAAAATAATGTTTGCCTGGGGTTGGGGATGGGAATGGGAACGGAAATTAACTGAATGGGCATGAGGGATTTATTTTCTAACTGATGAATCAGCACTCAAACTGGATCCAAGAGAGATCTTATTGGAGTGAGGGAGATGTTCTAAAACCGGATGATGGTAATAGTTGGTCAGCTTGCTAACTGTGCTAAACATCATTTAATTGTAAACTTGCCGGATGCGGTGGTTCACACCTGTAACCCCAGCATTTTGGGAGGCTGAGGCAGTTGCCTCACTTGAGGTCAGAATTTTGAGACCAGCCTAGCCAGCATGGTGAAACTCTGTCTCTACTAAAAATGCAAAAATTAGCCAGGTGTGGTGGCACATGCCTGTAATCCCAGGTACTTGGGAGGCTGAAGCAGGAGAATTGCTTGAACCCAAGAAGCAGAGGTCACAGTGAGCTGAGATCATACCACTGCACTCTAGCCTGGGCAACAGAGAGAGACTCTGCCTAAAAAAAAAAAAAAAAAAAAAATTCAATTATAAATTTTAAAAGGGTGAGTGATGTGGTATCTAAATTCGACCTCAATTAAATTGTTTTTTTTTTTATTATTTATTTATTTTTTGAGACAGAGTCTCACTCTTTTTGCACAGGCTGGAGTGCAATGGTACAATCCTGGCTCACTGCAACCTCCACCTCCTGGGTTCAAGCAATTCTCCTGCCTCAGCCTCTCAAGTAGCTGGGATTACAGGTGCCCACCACCACACCTGGCTAATTTTTATATTTTTAGTAGAGATGGGGTTTCATGATGTTAGCCAGGCTGGTCTCGAACTCCTGACCTCAGATCATCAGCTGGCCTCGGCCTCCCAGTGTTGGGATTACAGGCATGAGCCACCATGCCCGATCTAAAATTTTTGCTTTTAAAAACCAAAGTTTCAATGGATCTTCATGTACTATCATGTAAAACTCAAATTAACCTGGCCACAGAGTGTTCACCCAATATATCCAAGAGAGAATCATTATCTTCACTGACTGGTTATAAAAACATTCAGTGGTCTTTCTGTCCTTCCTACCAAGTCCAGTTGTGACTTGTCCTCCCGTCCCTCACTCTAGTGCAGAACTGTTGCTCCACCTACTTTTTTTGGAGCACGCCCTCATCACCTGTCTTCCTGCTTTCACTTATGCTATTTCCCTAGGCAGCTCAATCCAGCTCAAATCCTGGGTCTTCCTTACCTCCCTTTGTAGTTGCTACTACAATCAGTCTTTAATTCTTACCACTTTCTTTGTTATGTATCTTTAATTCTTATAACTTTCTCTGTTATGCACTTACCGTGCTAGGCACTGGGTGTCAGGGTAGAGTGCAGCCCTGCTGGCAGACTGCTCTTGCTCTCTAGGGTGATCTGCAGCCCCCTAGCATAGAGCTGGGCACAGGTGCTCAACATTTGTTGAACAAATGAGTGAGTGAGTGAATGAACAAACCCATTATTGGCTTTCCCCCGTGCATCCAGCTGCTCCATCTTTAGTAAACTTTCCAAAGGAAATCCTATGTTTTTATAACCAGTCAGTGAAGATAGTGATTCTCTTGGATATATTGGGTGAACACTCTGTGGCCAGGTTAATCTGGCTCACAGAGAGGTGGCCCAGATAGTCTCAGAGGGTTGGCCCTGGTAAGTACTAAATTGGCAATATCAAACAGCTGCTGCCTATACCCACCGCTCAAATCCCATAATTTTCTGAGATCATGTCACCCCAGGTGGCAAAGGTATGAATTGAGGCATCACTAAGGTCTCACACATTAAGCTCTTGATCTAGAACAGTATCTACTGTCACTACTGAGGGCTTGGCTTAGTGACTCCCAGATGAACCTGTGGTTCTTTATGGGGCCTCACTCATGCCAAACAGATGACTCCCATTCTCTAGGAGAGGGATACACCCTCCCTACCTGTTTGCACACTGGATTCTTATAAACAGGGAATATCCTCTGTCAATGAGAAGTATCAGGGATGAGGTACGGATGTCTTCCCTGGAATTCCACAGAGTATCAGAGTGACGCCTGCGAGCCAGAGGGCATATGTCATCTCTCGAAGCAACTAGAAGTAAAAGGTGCATGGCCTTGAATGTCAGAGGGATATGATTTCAAATCCAAGCGCAACCCTCTCTTAGGCCATTTGATCTTGGGCAAATGACTTACCTTCCCTAAACCTCAGCTTCCTTCTGTATGGAAAGGGAAATCTAGCGCCTCCCTCATGGGTCATTGTGTGGATTAAATAAGATGTTGTATGTAAGGACTTTTTCACAGTGCCTAGCACATAGCAAGGGCTCAATAACTATTAGTGGTAGTAGCAATAGCAGCAACAACATCATTAAGCATCTACTTTGTGCTAGAGACAATGCTATCATGGGGATAAAAGTCATTCATTCAACAAATCTAGTAAAGCCTTTACTACTAAAAGCCAAAGATTTTACATATAATGTCCTTTTCTTTTCTTTTTATTTCAGATGGAGTTTCACTCTTGTTACCCAGGCTGGAGTGCAATGGCATGATCCGGGTTCATCGCAACCTCTGCCTCCTGGGTTCAAGCAATTCTCCTGCCTCAGCCTCCCGAGTAGCTGGGACTATAGGCGCGCACCACCATGCCCAGCTAATTTTTGTATTTTTAGTAGAGACAGGGTTTCACCTTGTTGACCAGGATGGTCTCGATCTCTTGACCTCGTGAGGCGGGTGGCCGCCTCAGCCTCCCAAAGTGCTGGGATTATAGGCGTGAGCCACCATGCCCGGCCTATTTTTCAATCTACAATAACTAACAAAGATCCTGCCTATGTGGTGCTTATATTCCAGTGAAGACACAGACACAATTAAGAGTGAAAAAGGTAGAGACAAGTAAACAAGCACAGCACAGATGGATGAGTGATTAATGTAACCACATAGGACCACCAAGCAGGTTCACCTCATCTAGTTTTGGGAGGTCAGGGCGGGCCGGCTGAGGATCTGCGAGAGTGGAACTCACTAGATTATTTCTAGAGTCCTGTCTCCCACTGTGGTACGCACAATAGCGACGCTCCCAAAGGTGTCCACAGCCTAATCCTTGGAAACTGAAATGTTATGTTACATGGCAAAGGGGAATGAAGTTTGCAGATCAAATGAAGGTTACAGCCCAGC